ATAGTAATAAAATAAAAAAAATATTTACTAAAAAAGAAAAAGAAAGTTATATATAATGGAAATACTAAGTTTATAAAGGTTCTAGCGATTTTAAAGGCATATAAATAGATATAAAAAGTATTATAGTTAAGAAGAATATTATATTATATCTAAAGAATTAAATTTAAAGATCTTTATACTTAGTTTTATTTAAATATTTACTAATATAAATTTTATTTAATTAGAAAAATATAGTAGTAGTTAATTAATTAAGTTCTTAATGCTATTTTATTCTTAGTATTTTATTGAGGGTGGCCGGTTTCTGGGGGTGGCCGGTTTCCCTGTATCCGACGTTATGTTGAGTTTCGTAGTTTCAGGGCTAGCCAATCATTTGAAGCACTTGGATGTCTTGACTAAGGCGCGCAGAAGCCATGTCAGCAAGCAACTAAGCTAAACCATATTCGGCAGCTCTCTGCACTTCGGCAATTGGCTGCATCGTCAATACTGAGCAGCTTATGAGATTCTGAACGCTTTACAGGTCCTTGAGCCGGTATGTCATTGATGTATCTAAGCTGTGTCTTCTAGCCTAATGAAGAAAATCTTGCCTTACTTGTCCAATTATGGACTAGCAGAGGAAAATCTATACAGAAGCGTCAGTATTAGACCTGCCTAATTAGGGTAATTAAGTGTTAGTATCCACAAGGACAACTGAAGCAACCTGCTTACAGCGTCGTTGAACATACAGGTCAGCTTCCTTCTAAGCACCCTCACGCCCTCCCTGAACAATAGCGGTGCAAGATTGGAGCCTTCGAGCGCCCCTATACCAGCAAGGTAAGGACGTACATTATCTTTCCCAGAGACCCAGTCAATAATAGTCGAGCGGTTGGTATACGTCACCAATGCATCCTCAAACCCCGGGCAGGTGTTGATAAAGAACTCTCGGCTTCGAACTCCGTCCACAGTGTTTTTCCCAACGACCTCAGCGCTCTGACCTTGCTCGTTCAAGAATGGACCGAATCCCTTATGAAAAGCCTCAGACGACGATCCAGAGACGCTCTGGACTGTTTCCGTATACGTGACATCTGGGAAGACGACGCTGACACTGATACCATACGACGTGAGACTCGCAGGCATGCTCTGACTCCTCGAGATTGCCGCAGCCTTGCAAAGACAGTGAGGAAGAAGGTTCTGCGCAACAATAGCAGCGGGGAGCGTCCCATTTGGGGACGCGGTGTTGACGATTTGTCCGCTGCCGCGCTTTATCATCTCGGGGACAAAGCCCATGACGACCCGGATGTAGCCGCAGATGTTGACGTTCATCTGCAGCTGGAGGCTTGCCACGTCTAGGTCGAGAATGCCACCGGATCGGACCAAGACGGCGTTGTTGTGCCCTATGTCAGGAATGCCAACATCTGATGGGACTGCAGTAGCCAATTCACGGCGTTGAGTCTCCTCGTCAATATCTGCCAGTACGACACGGGCACCAGCCTTTGCGTATTCCGTGGCTATGGCGCTCCCGATTCCATGAGCAGCACCTATCACAACAACGATCTTTCCAGCGTAGTAGTCCATTCTTAAGGGTTCGAAGGATGAGAACTTGGTTGATGACCGAAAGAATGGCTGAAAAGAGCAATTTAGCATTTTATCATTACATTTCTCGGTCAGGGATGACAATGCTGCGTTTCTTCCAGCTACCAAAGGAAAAGTGACATGTCTGGCCTAGGGTTGACTCCGAGGCTTAGGCAGCCGATGCCGAATGGCGGTGTCCTCGAAGATATATCGTCGCGGCTATCGATGCTAGATGTTCCTTTTGACCGGAGGGAAATAAGAGCTATTGCTCGTTGGCCTCGATGGTAGGTTCACACATTTCTGTTCAAATCTATCATCACTAAATAGTACGCTCAAGGGTATGATCTAGTTGAGTGGCCCGCCACTCAGGAAGGTTGAGGGATAAGGGCAGGCACACACATCTCAACAGGGGCAAGCCACACACAAGATAACCGATACGAAGTAAGTGGATATAGAGGGTCAATCAATACTTGTATTCTACTTGTTTTGCAACCAACATCAGCCTACGGCCTCTTTTTTAAGTAATGTATTGGAAATCTCTCGGTAATAAACAAATTCCATAAAAACAGCCTATCTGTAAACTATTGACCTTCTCTAATCAATGGAAACCTCAGCTGCTTGCCTTAGACTCCCCACAGCGTCGATCCTGGTTCAGATACTGGCGGGGCTGACATGAGTTTCTGACTTGCGGGATACCGCCATCAACACACAACTAGCCCTAGAAAGTTCTAAAGTTCAAGTTTGCAGCAACTCCCAAAAGACCTTCTCCTTCTTTGACGCCACAGGCCTTCAGTTCAGTAGGCTTATACAGAGGTCTGTAGTCAGCGTACACTGGTGGAAGCGCTGCATCCTCAGCCTGGCGCTTACCAGTGCCTTTCAACACGGAAATGGTGGTGTTGGGAAAGTCACTGGCAGGCCTGACCTTTCCTCCGATCTCGACAAACTTCCAGTGAAGATGTTTCTCAAGGTACTCTTCAACTTGCTCCGTCATGGTGGAGTGAATGTGTTCGAAGCGTTTATCCAGCGCCTGATGGATAATGGGAATCGTCAGAAGAACTTGAGCGCGAGAGAGGACCTTCTTCTCTTTCTGGCTGGCACAGTTGGAGCAGCTCTCAACAACTGGTTCAAGCCCGGCAAATGAATATACTGAACCAATTAGATTCTCTCTGTCTCGGAATGTTGTATCGAGGTCCTTTCCGTCACCACCAAGCCAGAATTGAATAGTATATGAACTACCATCTAGGGCATAGCGATCGTAGATGACATTGATAAGAAAGTCGTTCCAAGTCTCGTTGTCCGTATTGTGAGGTCCAAAGAAGTCGACGTTAGAGACCTTCTTGTCCTTCAATAGGGCGTCATAGTACATCTGAATACTTGGGTAGATATCCTGGATATGTTTTTCGAGGTCACTCTTGAACTTCTCCTCGTTCAAACCTCCCTCAGGTAAGATCGCATCCGGCTGAGGGCGAAGGTCGTCATACTGATAACCTAGCTTGGTCCAGTCCTTCACAAGGCGGGATGTCCAATATCCAGTTGTTGGGTCCTCGGTCTCAATCGCGTGGAATGGTAGGAGGTTGTCATATTGTGTCTTATCCTCAACTTTCCCGGTGCCTTTGAGGAAGTCAGGCTCGTCAAACCAGGCTCCCCAGTTCAATGACTGCCACATAGCAAGTAGACGATCGATGTTACTGGGTTAAATGTTAGAGACATAGGGTGATTTACCACAGATAACATACCAATGATGTAACCAGAAGACAGGGTCAAAGGCCGAGACGGGCACGTCTGACATGTGACCAAGTCCGTAGCCTCCGATATCCTCTTCTCCCGGCTCGCTATAGTTGGAGCCGCCCGTGAGATTCTTGGTCACATAGATATTAGTTTTCGTTTCCCGTTTCATCTGCCAACTGACTCACGTGGACATTGTTGTGGATGTACTCCAGCGACAGATAACCAGTACTGACTTTCTGGCAGCTTTCTTTCCAATATTTAGTGCTGGCAAACGTTTCCCAAGAATCGGTATACTTCTTGGAGAACAGACGATTGACAGCATCTGCCAATGTTCCCGGAGGCTTAAATAGCTTCTTCCTATCTTCGTTCTTCGGGTCGTAGGGGTTGTACCAGTTCTTATCGAAATTGTCAAGGATGTAATTGGCCTGATCAAAGTTATTGTAACCTTCCAAGCCCCTGAAGTTTATGCCATCTTCGCTGAAAAGGCCGTATCGACTGGTGGCAGAACACTTGCTCCACTGAGAAGAAATTAGAACCAAACACTTCTTTGTCCAAGATAAAACTTGGGACTCACAGGAAGCCCCTTGGGGTTGTCGTGGATGTTCCATTGCTTCTTTTCCTCTGGCATGTTTCCAAATGCCCTAGGTACACCGTCTGGCTTTCCATTTTCGGTTTCTGGATTCTTGAACTCGTAAAACGGGTTCGTCACCCCAGTTAATCCCTTGGGGTGATCAGGGGGATAAACAGTGACGACTTTGAATGTAAGAATAAGAGGGAGGGAATACTTGTCGTTGTACTTTTGCTTTCGGGCCCAATCCCAGTAAGGAAGTCTCCAGGCATCAGCTGCTTCTTGCCACTCGGCCGCGTCAGCGGAATCAAGGCCCCATTCGGCGATGATCTCCTTCATATGCTGCCAGATGAGTTTCTACATTTTGTAATTAGCATGGGCCAAGAGAGAGGGGCCAGCGTGGCTATGGAACACACCTCAAAGAGGAGCATATAGGGCCGGTGCCAAGTGGGGAACGTGATTGTGTTGTGCTCGCAGTAGCCTCCGTAGGGGTTGGCACCAGGAGGCAAGTCTTTGGGGCACTCGGGGTCTTTACGGGGAGGCTCGGCACCGTCCCAGGACTGCAGAGGATAGGCATGAATCCCAGCGACCTGGAAGTATGAGAGCTTTTTCTCTACTCCAAGAGCCTTGAAACGATTCATCCCGAGGACCATCAAGGTCCACTGCTTTTGCTTCAAGGGGACATCTGAGGGGAAGAACTCCGATATGTCATGGCGACAGGGAAGACCTGGAACATACGGGATGTTCTTGGTCTCCGGCTTGGCATTTGATGGGATTCCCTGAACGGGAAAGGTCTTGCCAGTGAAAGTTGTCATGATGTAAGAGATGTTTAATAGAATGTGGTGAGTGTTATGAGTAATGATCAATTCTTTTGTGGTTATATCGCTGGCATTTATAGCTCTGAGATCGATGTAAGACCTCGCTTGCGGACGACCGCAGTTCACAAGCAGACGCCGTTTATCTGCGGCTGGAGGCTCTTCTCTCCGGCTCTGGCTGAAGCTAAGTTATGTGACAGATATCGCTTCCGATTGTGACTGGTGCACTGAACCTCTTTTGTTATGCCGTGTCTTTCAATCAAGCCATATTTGCATCTTGTGGAGGTATCAGCTAGCCACGGGCTAGGTCTCAGTGATCTAGATTCACTAGTCGCCGCGGGGAACAACTAGACTAACCCGCTCTGTCATTTCAGCTGCCTCATTTGAGACATTACTAGCGCGTCTAGGTCAAAAACGGCGAGTGCCACAGCGGCTAAGGCCGTAGCTAATGGAGAATCTATGGTTATTTTTAGCGAGTATTGGTCAAGATACGTGCATCGGACGTATGCCACCGTGCATTAACCAACTGCGCTCCAATCGATGATACTTGGATAATAAATGAGGTTAAGAAGAATGATTGCGGCCAGCTGAAGTACCCATACTGTGCTGTTAGAGGTTGATCGTCACAGTTATTCTGCAGTGTCGCAGTGATGGTATGTGATCACTTGAACTCCATGCTTTCCAAGACAGCCACTTTTTGCTACTGAAGCTAGTGCAATGGCTTGGTTCCCTAAACGTTGTACCCGATCGGGCTTTCTGCATTACCTTGCCATAGCTCACGAACTTGGGGGTTAGCTGTCTCCACCAAATCTCGCCACTGGAAGAATGGCTGCCCTGTGAGAAGAATCACAGGACTTACTTATTTCGAGCTCCTTATCAACGACCAAGCTTTGCGACTTAACATACTGAAACTTTAACAATACCGAGGTCTTTCTGATGAGACAGATGCTCAACAGAACTATGGACTCTCGGTCTTTGGTTAATCCCTCACAAAGTGGCGATTGTTCCACCTCAATTGAACGCTCCTCCTCGACGAGACATCGATTACAGAGAGGTGCCTTCGTATGAAATAATTGCCGGAACGCTATTGATGCTGAGATCGTATTATCCTCAACTGGGAGGGAGAGTAGAGAGTATACACAGACTGTGACTTCGAGAAGGTGCAGTATATTGTCACGCGCGGAGCTAACGTTAACTCACTATCGCCTCATCATTGTTCACCTCTGCATCTGGGGCACAAGGACTTTATACATAATATAGTCAAAAATTGCTAATACGTAAGGTCATTTTCTGGCTCTACACGACTGGGTCTGCAATATCAGACTGCCGTACTTATTTTCCGCGGTGAAGAAATGTAAGACAACCTTCTTGCTATCCACTGGGGACTGGACACTGCATTTAGAGGTATATTTAGGTCTACAAATAACCCTTGCAAAGCTTACTATATCGAAGATCTAGAATGACTTGACTTGGATGAATTTATGGGGATCGACTTCGTCAAGCCTTTTTTTAAGGGTCAGTGAGCAGGAGGTTTAGCTCCGTAGGCCTCGGTAGATCATAGTGGTTTAGGGTATCAGAATGTGTACGCACGGGCCAAGGTACCGTGAGGGATTTTATTCGTCTGATCCTTGGAAAAGAATTTTAATTTAACCACTCTTGCTTCGTATTTGGCTATTGCACTATTGGCGGCTAACATATACTACTATGTAAATCATCTTAAGCTCTACCCATGTCGATCATGGTTACGGTGAGTCTCCACATGCCGACAAGTGCGGATCAATTACTGACCGGGTTTTGTTCTTACGAAAAGTCCAGTGAAAAGCGAGAAGGCATTCTTGGAACCTTAGTTAACTTTCTAAGAAACACTCAAAAATATGAAATGCCGAATTCTGTGTCGTCTTCCGACAATTTAGTCCCGCTTCAACCTCTTTCTGTTCAGGAGCAAGATAGGAATGAGGATAAACAAATCAATGATGCCAAGGAAACAAAAGAACAGAAGCAAGAGAGTTGCAAAAATAGTGGGGGAACAGTCTCAGATTCAAATCTGATCACAGCTGCAGGAGATCAGTTAAAAGAGGAAGCGCTGCGTCTTGTGTGGCAAGAGGTATCATCAGACAGTGATATAAGTGATCAGGCTACTGAAGCTCGACTTATAGAGTAAGTAGCGCACTAAAAGCATGCCTGCGGCGCTGATTATCTCCAGTTTCATTGTCATACCCGGAGTCTGTGGCAATCGGCACGGCAAAGACTTTGCGCCGAGCCGTGGATCTGTTAGCTCAGCTTGGGTTACCCAAATCGCTGAGGAAGGCTGGGAGAAGCCCAAGAACGCTCGCAGCAGCTGCCGGGTGTTTCAATTCGATTATGACTCTTCCGAACTTTTCTTTGGTCATAGATCTCGAGAGGCAATCCGGCGAGTTACATTGAGATTGCTCAATGGGTTACGGTCAAAACGTTCCGGCGAGACCAAGGTATGGGAGAACTCACCATCCTAATACAGTTTTTAGCCTGACATGGAGATTTATGCACAGAAGCGTCTGATATACTTTATCAGCCATGATATCGGAGGTACTATTGTCAAAGATGTAAGTGATGAGGCTTAGAAGTGCTGGAGTATTGCAACGTGTACCAACCAAGCATAGGCTCTTGTTATGGCTGCCCTTGACAGGAGCTCATGGCAAGACATACCAGAGATGACACGAATTCTGGTGAGTAAGCCCTATATGTTACATAGCTTACTCGGTCTGACGCACTACAGATCTTCAATGGCTGTCCACACCGCCAGAGAGACAAAGCTGACTTGGAAACGAGGCTGGCTAGCTTTCTCTATGAAAATTACTCTCATACTTCTGGCAAGCCGCGGCCTTCAGTGACCTCAATATCAAGACTTACCAGAGCCATCATCCAAGTGAATGGTCTCTTCATAACCTCACATATCGCGCTGCGAAGCCACATCATAAGTCTTCACTCTCAAGGAGAGACGAGTAGTGGGGTGAGTAGTTCAACGTCAGGTGCCATCGCCGTATAACACAAGACTTACTTGAAATCAGGGTTTCGACGCTTACTGTGCGACATTGGGTATACCGCTGGAAAAGACACTGACAGCACCAACTGGGACGGACTATTCTCCTCTTACTAAGTATCTTGCCAAGATAGAGCCAGGTATGTTCATGAAATACGATCATCGTGTTATTAGTATAACTAAGAGTTCTTATCAGATGTCCGGGAGGCGAAAGAGTCCATCGGAGCACGACAATATGCCCAAGAGAGAAAGCTTCTTGCTCTAGCGTCTCCAATCTATCCGCTCCGTAACAAGGTTGAACCTAACCCTTTGGCTGATCTACCAGATTATCAAACTTGGTTGAGCAGTTCTTGTCCTCAAATACTCTACCTTCACGGCAGTTATAGCGTCAGAGATGTGGCTGAGAGTGTATTCTACGCTCTTGAAGATGAGGCCGCGAAGGGGAAGCGACGGGAAATTGTTCTATACTTCTCTTTCGACAGATTCGATGTGCGTGCTGATAGTATTCGGGACATGATCGCTACCTTCTTGGCTCAGATTTGCAGTCATCACCCAAGACTTGGACCTGCCATCGAAAGACTCTGCAGCCAGATTGAAAATGAACGGGGATGGACTGAAACAGATCTGATTCAATTTCTCGAGATGTTCAGAGTCTCAGCAGAAGTCAAACAGACGATCATTGTCATGAATTACTTTGAAGAGTGCACAAAAGCGTCACGAAAGATATTTCTGGACCACATCACTAAAAGGTATCACAACAGCGAGTCCCCCTGGAAGATTGTAGTTACAAGTATTGAGCCTGGTGCTCTGAGCGAAGAGCTATCGGGTCCTTTTTGTGTCCCTATTGATATATCTTCTGGGGAGCTGGGAGAGTTCGCGGCGAAAAATTTGGAGAGTGACATCAAAGCACTGATAAGCTCAAGAGAGGATCTGGCTTTCAGTGAACAGCAGCTCCTCGAGGAGCTGCGGTTCATGGAAAAGTTAGATCCTCCAGTGCGCCATATTATATGTGAGCAGCTCAGAATTCGAGAAGAATGGCCTGAGGAGATGTCGACTGATGACACTCTCGGCTTATTGGGCCTTTCAAAACAAGTGGAGGAGGGTGACAAGGCTATGGTATCTGTGTTGAATGCTGTGCTCAAGAAGTACCCCAACCAGGACTCTATGGAATGCCTCTTCTCCTGGCTCTTATACGCTGTCAGACCACTCACAATCTGGGAACTTGCCATTATCATCTCGTTTTCAGATGAGAGGGAATGTAGCAAAGTCTCTCCTAGTTTCATGGCTGTCGACAAGTTTGTCGAAAAGATTGAGAACGACTTTGCTGGTATTCTTGAGGTGGATCATAACGAGGTCAGGTTTAAGTACCCATGCTTCCACGAAATCATGGTCAACAACCATTCTTTAACAAAAGAGCCTGAAGAGAAGGATTATCTGTGGCACAAGATCAAAGGAAAAGCTCATCATCTAATTCAAAGCATGTGCCTGGCCTACCTATCTCGAGACGCTGTTCAAGAGTATGTCAGGGAGACTTTCGCCAATACAGACTCAGCAACCTTCGAGACACCGCCTTTCCCAGACCGCACAAACCTTGCCTCATATGCTATCCAGGCGTGGGCACATCACTATTCTCTCAGCTCCCCTCTTCCAGACATATCTGGCTTATCATCAAAGAAGGACATGGTTCAGACCCTGGCCAAAGCCCAGTGGTGTCTATCTAACCCTGCCACCAGACGCTCTCCTTGCTTCCAGTCTCTGTTCCCAATCTTTGCTGGACTTGGCCTCCCTAATGTGGTGGAGCCGCTAGGTAGTGATGATGCGTTACGAGGTCTGATCGAAGCAGCCAGCAAAGGACAGAAACAAGTGGTTGAGGATCTTCTTGGCGAATACGACTTTACGCCAGACGAGACATGGGATGTACTCAAGGCTGCAAGCTCCTCTGGCAATGAGGAGCTGATGAATGCCCTGCTGGAGAAGATAGAGGCTAAGGGGAAGATACATGAAAACTTTGAGTGGCCGCCTGTTTTGATCTATCGGGCTGCCAATCTGGGTTTAGAGGGCTTTGCCGAGAAGATACTCAGTCTTGGATGTCCTGCAGATCCAGATGTCGACTGGAGAAACGAGACATCCATGCAGTCATCCCCTCTATGTCAGGCAGCACGTCATGGATATGCAAATACAGTCAGAGTTCTGTTGAAGCATGGCGCAAATATAGAGTACAACAGCTTGTCTGGAAGAAACCCGCTTCATAAGGCCGCCCTTGAAGGTCACACCGAGACCGTCAAAGCCATTCTAGAGGAGTCACAGGTCATTATCGACTGTCCTTCTGAATCGAATTTCACTCCCTTATATCTCGCGGTTCTAGGGGGAAGCCTTGACACAGTGAAACTGCTGTTGGAGAAAGGCGCAGACCCGAACATGGGCATCTCAGATTCTCACACTGGAGATGGTCAGTGGACACCTTTACATGCGGCGACTGACAATGGTTTCATGAAATGCATCAGGCTACTTCTAGACAACGGAGCCAATCCGAATATTCCTGGACCTTCTGGACCTCCGTTGCATTGGGCAGTTATCCATGCCCGCATCGATATCTTCAATACGCTTCTTGAAGCTGGGGCTGACTATCTGAGCAAGGCCCTCAAGAAACCCCTTCTGGTCACAAGCGTAGGGGCTGAGCTAAAGGGCGCTGGTCTAGGTATGCTGGAACGACTTCTGGAGCTCGAATTAGATGTTAACTGTAAGGACCGCGAGGGGAACACCCCACTTACCGCTCTGATATGCTCGTACGCAAGTACACCAGCAGACGACTCTGGCCGAAGAGACAAAGCTTTGAAGATGCTGCTAGATCACGGTGCCGACGCGAATCTGGCCAGCGATGATATGCGGACACCATTACAATATGCAGTCCTGGTGAAACACTACAAAGCGGTCGAGATGCTCTTAGAAGCAGGTGCTGATCCGAACTCACACTTTAAAGAGAACCAAGCACCACTTTGCTCTGCGCTTGAGCAGCCCCGGATAGCCCGTCTGTTGCTTGAGAAAAGTGCAGACCCCAATGTTGGTTTCTCTGTCGGGTTCACTCCCCTGACATACGCTGCATGCTTTGATTACGAAGAAGCTGTGGAGGCCCTTCTTGAATATGGAGCGACAGTTGATCTTGAGTATGGATTTGGAGTTGACGAGCCTCTCAATGATTGGCCCAAAGGCTGGACACCTCTCATGTGCGCTACATTCCGAGGCCATCATGGAATCGTTCGGATGCTGGCCGAAGCTGGAGCGGACATGCATCGACGAGACAAGGAGACAGGAAGATCAATCGTTCACCTTGCGATAGCTGGCGGAACCCTTTCCACTATCTTAGAATTTCCTTCAAGGATCGATCTTAACGACACGGCAAATAATGGGCTTGGGGTTCTTCACTATCGTAATCTTGAGATCCGAGATCTGAAGCGGCTGGTTAATGCTGGCGCGGACATTGAGATTGGGGCCGGAGGGCGACTTACCCCCCTGCAAGTATACGCAGAATGTGACTTCGAAAAGGTGCAGTATATCATCAAGCGCGGAGCGAATGTCAACTCACTGTCCCCGTACTATGGTTCACCTCTACATCAAGCTTGCAGAGCAGGTCGATTTGATATCATCAAATTCCTTGTTGAGCACGGTGCAAACGTGAATGCAACCGAAAACTTTCTGGGCACGCCTCTACAAGCACTATTCCTTGCTCAATATCATATCGAGGCGCTGGAGCATGAGAGCATGGTCCGCTATCTCTTGACGGGACACGAGAGCGCACATGCGGATGTAACAGTAAAAGCTGGTGTCTGGGGCTATGCGATCAACTCGGCTGCATTTGGAAGTCTCCCTCCTGTCATCAACCTCATTCTTGAGCAAGAACACGCCACAGTCAATGTCAAGGACGACATGGGCCGCATGCCTATACATTTTGCGGCATGTCATGGCTTGGCCAACTTTGAGGCTATCCTGGAGCGAGGTGGCGACTTGTATGCTAAAGATAAGCAGGGACGTGTGCCGTTGCATTGGGCTGCACAGACAGGAAGACTCCAAGTTGTGAAGAAGATCATCTCGCTTATGGGTGACAAGCTGGATATCGATGTCCCTGATATTGATGGTTGGACACCGCTTTGCTGGGCACCTCGTCACGGTTTAACACTACTTAAGCCAGAAAATACGGGAGAGCCGTCACTCAGCGCTGATGTTATTAAACTTCTCATTGAGCATGGGGCCAAGACAGATGTGATTGTTAAACAGGGCAAAGAGACATGGAGCCCGCTCAGCATTGCTCACTATCACAATTGTGATCCAGACGTGATATCATTGCTCAATAGTAGCGTCCCAACGTACAAGGATAATAACGAGGACACCGCCGAAGATACAGAGACCTCAAAGGCTACAGCAAAGAGGGGAATTCGACAGGAGAATGCCTGTTGTGATTATTGCTTATCGGTTAGTATTTGGTGATCTTCTCCGGTACCTGCTAATCTCACATTGTAGCTCATCTACGGGATGTATTGGTGTTGTGAGACGTGCCAATGGTTATGCCTTTGTGATAAGTGTTATCAGCACGCTGATATCCTGCATCCGGTGCACAAAAGCTTTACACAAAAAGGCGAAGAAGAGGGTGAGGAGAGTGAACATGAGGTTTTAGCAATATCGACTTCTGGCCCGTCGGGTACATAATTCAACTCTGGATCTGAATCCGAATCTGGCTCCAACGATTGAGGAGCCGGGAAAGATAATGAAGATGGTTCTTAGGATGCATGATTGGCCCCAAAAGAACGAAGAGCTGTGGGTGTATCCAATAGTATTCCAAGACTAAATAATCTCGTGCGGGGATGGGACAGAGAAGTACAATAGATGAAGAGCTCTAGGAACCCAGAACGATCTTGTTCGACAATCTACCTGCTGGTAACTCGGATCATGAGCTTCTAGCCATCCACTAACCAGCAAATCTCCATCCCTCAGGCTCACCAGCTGCATCCTCTGCAGCCTTGAGGGCTTTATTCTTCTTAGCCACGTACCACTTCGTGATGAGGACAAACACCACAACGAGACCACAGCCTGCAATGATAACACCTCCTCCGGTCTGATAGTAAGGTTCTTGGTTTCGGAGGAAGAAGTATGGTGTGAACCAGTGGGAAACAGATGAAACACAGTTGGCGTACGCGATGAGGGCAGCACGTTTTGTGCGGGGACGAGGGACAACAGTTGTCTCCCAAGAGATTTGGATCTGGGAATAAGTTAGTGAGTGGTCGTCTGATAGATGGTGAATAGGTGAGGGAGCTTACGTTGAGACCAACGAACGGACCAACGACGAGCAGGATCATGGAGAAGTATCGGGCGCCCACATTAAGCGTGGTGATCATGACAGCACAGCCGATCAGAGTAAGAAGAATAGGAACGATGATGTGATAACCGTGTTCCAGTCGTCGACCAGAAGACCACGAGATGCCCATCATCGCAATGAAGGCGATGATAGGAGGAGGGGCCTGAATGAGATAGGTAGTGGTACCGGAGAATCCAATGGTAGCGACGATCTTACGACGATGTTAGTACAAGGCTCACAGTCAAAGGAAGAATGAGAGGTTACTCACGGAAGGGAAGAAGTCCTTGTATGACTGTGCGATGATCAAGAAGAAGTGAATAGCCGCAAAGAGATGGGCAAATGGCTCCTTCATACACATCCAGAAACCATCCCAGTAGCTTCCAGCATCATCTTCAGCGATGCCACCAGCGGACACAGTCTGACGATATTGAGCCATAGCTGCCTCTTCCTCGGTGATGAAATATGTACCAGTCGAGTCAGGGAAGTTCGGAATGAACCAGAAGCTTACGAGCATGGCACGTGAGCAGTCAAAATACATGGCCCAGTGAACAGCCATGAGAATGGAGACATTGATGGAACGAATTCTGAGAGGGAAGACTTCGGCTGAGACGAGGTATGGAATGGAGAACCAGCCGATGGACCAAGCGATGGCGTGGATGTAGATGGCTGCAATAGCTGCGCGAGTAGCTGCCATAGCAGATGAGCTTGCCTCAATCTTCTCCGGGGTCCAACCATTGGTGACCTTTAGATAAGCTCCAACAAAAGCCAGAGTTGAAGATCTGCATGGTGATACCAGTCATGAGAGATCGACGTCTGCCGATGAAGTCGATGACAAACACAGAGAAAATGAGCACGGACACAAACTTCAAGATGGCATAACACCCAGTAGCCAAGAAGCGAGCTTCAGTGCCCTCAATGCCCAGATATCCAAAGATAGTAGGGCTGTACTGAGTGACGGCGTTGGCACCGGACCACTGTCCAAAGACATGGCAAGCAAACATGAGAACGAAGCGTCGTCGGTTAGAGAGATCTGTGAAGGTCTCTTTGATCAAGTCCCAAGTATTGGCACCAGAAACAATCTCAATCTCATGGTTCAACTGGCTCTCAATACCCTGGAACTCAGATTGAACGTAGGAATGATCTTCTGGGAGTCCTCGGAAGCGAGACAGCGTAGCAAGTGCCTCCGTTCTCTTGTTCTGTCTAAGCAAGAAGCGGGGCGTTTCAGGAGTGAAGAATGTACCGACACCCCAGATGAGAGCTGGAATGAGCTGAAGTGCGGTTGGGAGCTGCCATTGTAGGTTTGTTCCGGCGTGGTATTTGGTGACGCCATAGTTGAAGAAGAAGCTAAAGACAACGCCGAGCTGTTGGCAGCAGGTGTATTGGAGCGTCAAGAGACCGCGAATGGGCTGGGGTGATATCTGAGTGACACTGAACGTCAGCTACAGATATTGAAGGGCAGAGCGGAAGGCATACCTCTGCGATGTAGACCGAAGGCAAGACGGTCGTCGCGCCAACACCGATACCAGCAATGACACGAGTCGCATAAAGAGCACCAGGGTTACCACTACTAAACGTCTGGCCAAAGATACCAGCCATATATACAACAGTGAAGAACTGAAAGGTACGTGTCCGTCCCAGCCGCTGGGTAAGCCAAACACAACCCAAACATCCAAAGACTGCACCAGCCGTAGCGATAGCCACGATCCAGCCTTTTGTGTTTGCATATTGATGATCGGTCTGTTTATCGATCCCGAACCGCTCTTTGAAGACCTCCATAATGACGAGGGAGGCGATGTTTCCTGTGTCATTGCCAAGTGATTAGTTAGTATTGGCGGCGGATGGAGGTGAGACTGACCTTCGTCGAAACCCTTGGCGACACCAGAGAAACTCCAGATGCAGGTACACATGAGGAGATACCAGTTGAAGATCTCCCTGGGACTGTCTTTGATGGCACGTCTGGTGGCCTTGATCATATTTGGTCTTGCCATTGTGAACGGTTGTAAGTGATGAAAATGGGGGAGTGGACGAGAGCTTGGAGCTGGGGGATGAGATTACGGGCAGGAGAAAGTGGGTGAATTATATCCTGTCCAGCCTCGCGGAAACCCCTTCCCCAGAGAGTCAACGGGGATTACCGACTCCAAGCGTGGAGAAAATAAATGCAACGCCCACTTCGCGGAGAAAAAAGGCGGGGATGAGCTTGATTCCCCGAGATCCAACTTCCCCAGATATCGGAGTGAGCCCCTTGTTTAGCGTGGAGTCAAAGTGTCGTCGGAGCATGTCCTAGTGCTATCGGGCTGGATCCGGAGGAGGTTTCGGAGTGTAGATTTGGGCTAGCTGCTGATGAGATGGGCTAACCCTCGTCACGAGTCAGTGATTGTGTTACATTGAGGAACGCCCCGGCAAACGACCCGGTAAGTTGCGCTGGCGGACGGGAGCTGAGCTGAGTTTGATTAAGTTATCCGGAGACAATATTGCGTTGCGAAACCTTGGGCGAACTGCCACTGAGGATACCGGTGTGTTGTCATAGAACCGCTGCTCAGACTGTAAAGTGAACTGTGCACATTGCGTTTCAGGCGCTACCCAGGGCCTAGACTCCCAGGTCATTGTCCTGTCTCAAGAAAGGGCCATAGAATCAGAAAGCAATAGTCTGTCATATACTTCTAATTGTCTCCCGGCTCATGAGACAAGAGAGATGGCTGATAAAGCATACCACGGTGTTTAACGTATGAGGCGCGTAATGTGAGCATCAGCAGTGGGGTGATCTATCAACTCAAAATAACACTCTTATCAAATCAGTTCATGTGAACGGTGTTCAACAAGTAAGATACAACGCGGTAGAAGGCCTATATTCTCGCTATGACTGCTCTTTACTCTGTTTCAGCATCGGCGCAGCCACAGCTCCCCGACAATGCCACTCCACCTTCTGAATATTCCCCTCCAGGCTATCAGTAATAAACAAAGTCTTATGCTCCGGTCCCCCAAAACAACAATTTGTCAGATTGATCCCCGGAGAACCACTAATAATTCGAGCCCTGGGTATTCCGTGTGTATCCACTACAAAGATTGAACCAAGACTTGGATGACAGATGAACAAATTACCCTCCTCGTCAAGTGCAAGACCATCAGGACCCGCGTTGCCAAAAGAGTGGAAGAAGACGCCGACTTTGGAGGTAGTGCCGTCTGCGTGTAGAGGTAAGCGCCAGACTTGGTTTGCGCGTGTCATGGCGACGTAGAGGAAGCGCTCGTCTCGTGAGAGGACGAGACCATTGGGTGAGGGACCGTTGTCAAGGAGTGTGTCGAGTCTTCCATCGGGTGATACACGGTAGACGCGACCTGTTGGGTCTGTCATACCCGTTTGGCCTTGATCCGTGAAGTAGAGATTACCCTTTGAGTCAACGATCAAGTCATTAGGTCCTTTGAACCGCTCAAGATTCTTTCTTGTCAACTTTGGACCAATCTTTCCCGTCTCTGGATTGAACGATAGTATGCCCTATCATAATTAGCATCAGTAATAACCCAAGTACAAATTGCGCATACCTGCTTATAATCCGCCACCAATAGATGCCCATCAGCGGCCCCCACGAGCCCATTCGGCTCGCCATCCCAAGTGCACGCAACACTAAAATTCTTGTCGGCATCAATCTTGAGAATGCGACCGTACGGAATATCCACGACATAGAGATTCCCAGCGCTATCGACAATGGGCCCCTCAAGGAAGATGTGCTGGAACGACCCCGCGAAGCCCCCGCGCCATTCTGACTCTTGGCCCAAGCAGCGCTTATCGTCTGGAATGCGTAGATAAATCTCTGCTTTGATCACGGGAGGTGCTAGGTAAAAGTTCATTTTGATCAAGATTATGTAGAGCTTGGCTGAGGACAGCGGCCGTAAGTTGTTATTAGAATGTTTTATAGGCGCTTGGTGTTCAGCCGTTTTGCGGTAAGCTGTTTGCGCGGAGGAACTCCGATGGGTCTGGTGCTCTAGCTTGGGGATTAGTCAGGCTTGAATCAATATGAAACGCAGCTCCTTCTCACCACAGCATCACTAAATTCCTTTGGAGTCTGTTTCAATATCTTAGGCCAAGCGCTCTTAAAGTACTCGATCGACCATCAGGTTACATATGAATATTCATCCATAATATAGGTAGGCACGTGCAAGACTGGTAGGAATTGTGCCTTTCCTCTCAGCAATAAGAGCGAGGGGTTTGCTAACTACAATCTCATTCTACACGGTCAAGCCGATAGACGCATTCCGTCCGGCATCGTTCTGGCGCTGTCGTCGGTCTTGACGTTGCCTCGACCGAGTCTATAACTTTCGACAGCAATTGCATGGAATAAACCCCTTGACGGTACGTTTCCTTCTAGCCGAACACACTTAAAACACAAAAATGGTTACCTCATCGTGCCAGCAGAATCGGAGTGGTGTTATCAACCACGAGTGTCATCGCCCTCCCCATGACTGCTGTCCCGTTCTGCTTAGTTTGGTACCTATCCGAGTAACATAGCCAACACCAACCCGGCTCAAATGCGTAGAACGGCTATCTCATAAGGCTTCGAAAAGACCACCGAGAATACTTTATCCTCTGCTTTGAGGGTGGTCGTCTTGATTGAGCTTGTTTCGCCTCCATTACCAAGGAGGTTATTGACACTAGACCCGTCTGGTGCGGAGAGGACAGTGGAGCGTAGCCCTGTTGGCTTTGGATCCCTTGACCGTGACCTTGACCGCATTAGCAGCACCTTTTTTGCCATTGTAGTTGACCAGCTTAAGCAAGGTCTTGCCCCCATTCTTTGTTGCAGACCAATAGACAGGACCGAAACTTCCTCCAGTGGCATTGACAGGGACAGTCTCGGAACCCAAGTTGGCAGCGAAGAGCTTTTGTACATAAAAGCTGTTCGTCTTGAGGATCTGGTTGGCTGTGTGTTTCATCACTGCCACGGTTCCCGGCTCTTCGTCATATTGCTTGATGAAAGCGCCATACGCACTACCTATAATCACGTCTGAGTTTCTCTCACAGCCGAGCAGAAATATTGCCTCTGCACAAGCCATCGAGAAAGTTTGCGCGCCAATTTCACCACCGGTGTTTGAGCCCGATCGGATGGCTGCATATTCAGCCACGAATACGGGATAATCTCGGCTCGCCTGGTCGAAGGTGTTGAACAATTTGACGAAATGGGCTTCGTTATCATAGGTATGAATGTCAACCATGCCTCCGCTTCCTTTGTCAGGTGATGGTGACGGATTGATAGATGAGACTACGTTCATCTTGGGGTACCTGGCACGAATGGCGTCGTACAATGCTTTGAAGCGGTACGAGTAGTATGTCGATGTACCGCCGTTGAGGTAGTCCTCATTTCCGATCTCGACCCAGTCAACAGTGAACGGCTTGCGGTATCCGAGAGAGGCACGCAGCGAACCGTACTTTGTAGATGCATCACCCTAGTCAATCAGTAAGCTGAGCAAAGATCGACGGCTGGGAATACTCACCATGAGAAACTCTAGTTCGCTCAAAGCCAGATCGACGTAAGGCCCAAGATCCTCTTCTGCAATAATGTCTCCATTGAGATAGAGCCCAGCAAAGAGTCCAAGCACAACAGTAAGGTCCAAGTCCTTGGCCATCTGCATCTGCTCAAGGATATCGAAGCCGTCCGTGTTGATATCACCCCAAGTGCCCAGTCTACCAGGTCGGTTCTTGAGTTCGCCGAAAGTCTCGTTCCACTTAAAGTGATAGGGAAAGCAAAGACCTTCCATGTTATTGCGGCCCGGCAATCTGATCCATAAGGCGCCTAGGTCATCCACAGCTAGTGCAAGGTCTTTTCGCAGACCATTGCCACGATTCTTATAGGTTTGCTTGAAAAGACTTAGCAGGTTAATATGGAGGGACTTTCCAGCAAGCTTTTAGCCTTCAAAAGTGAAGTAAAATGTGTTGTTAGGGTTTCTAGGTAAAGAAGTAGGCTTAAAATGAGGAGTTTCGATCTTCTTCCAGCTATTAGGGTTTATCTTGGTCACCTTGGCAGAAGCACTAGACAGTTTATGCCCCGTGATAGAGTTGTTAAAATAAACCTCGACCAAACCGTTATAGTCGCCTCTGATTTGTAGGCTGGAGATATACCGCTCGGTAGCATCAACGTCAAAACCCCAGAAGCCGTTGTTATAGAAGCCTACCTTGCCAGTTGCTCCCTTAGGGACATCTATGCGTAGGTAATACGGCAGGCTGGAAGACAACACAGGCTTTAAATCATCAACAGAGAGGGTAACACCGCCGACTAGGTGCCAAAAGTCCAAAGTGCAGTCGAGGCTAGCAACGCGATCTTTAGATAAACCCTGAAAAGCACAATTGCGGATCAATTCGCCGTACAAACCGCCATCCCCAGAGTGATAAATATCCTATAAAGCAACGTGAGTTTGACAGGGTATGCGAATTCAAGAGGAAGCGTTCTGGTACCTCGTAAAGCACGCCGCAGAGAAGCTGGCTTGAGGAATTGCCACCAGAAGACTCTATCGACAGACTGGGGGCAGAGATAGACTGGATTAAGTAGCAAAGAGCAAAGAAGTATCGCATGATAAAGGATCTCTCGATTAATGGTAATGACTAAGATGTGGCTTGTAGTAGCGTCGCGATTTGAAATATGGCTTTCTTTTAGCAGTCGTTTATATAGGATAAGGGCTGAGCACTACTAAATCTCGCTTCGTGTCAGCCTCGGCCGAGTCTCGTTAAAAGACAGGGTTCCTTTCAGGCATATACTGATGCTTGGACAATAAGCGATCCTAGTATTTCTTTTCATTTGTGCTATGCGCCGCCGGAATAACGAGTTTCTAAATGGTCAGAACTCCGTATCATTGCGGGGTATAGTGTAGTAATTCTAATATGGGCTTATTGACTCCGAGCTTTCCCCTCATCGTATAACAGATCAAGGAATGATAGCCCAGCGATGTACCATAGCCATACAGCCGAGCCAATGGCCAAGGATTCAGCTTATAATTTAGTTTAATTCCCAACACTAGTTGCCTCAATTGCGTCGTAGGAACCTGGTATTAAATGTATTGCGAGTTAGCAAGGAGTATCAGTAAGACACTGACCAGGCTAACTGGGGTATTAATATTAAGTAAGGATTAAGCCTATAAATATAATTATTAATAATTTAATATAATATAGTAAATAGTATTTAAATTAACCTTAATATCGTTATAAGAATTAGATTATTATATATAAACCTAAAAATATTGCTTATAAATCTTTATTTAATATTCAGACTAGAAAGGCTTATAAGATTAAACTAATTTAGGTATACCAGGTTAGGCTCAAGATACATTCAAAGCTCCTGACGGCAAGTTACCATCCAGCCGAACACACTTCAATCCAACAATTCTATCAACACGTCGCATCTTAGGCCTACATACTATAATTGTCAGAGGCGCTGGGATCGGGGCTATCACTGCCAAACCCCTAGTTCTCCATACCAACATACTGCTCTCGTATCTTATCCTTCCACGCCTCAAAGGAAATAATCTCATCTCCTAGCTTAACCGAGCCAATTAGTACCGCATCAATCTCCTCCACGTTTCTTTTCGGCACCCATAGTGTTCATGATCTTTACTACACACAGGCCCCAGTCTTCCCTCCATGAGCTTCTTGTAGCACTTGTCATCTAGCTGTAGACTTCCGCTCTCACTCAGACACGTCCAGATCTCACTCGCAAAGCTGATCTCGGCTTAAAATCCATCACACCAGAAAAACGCCGTCTGAGGCTCGTCAGGCAACGATAGATAGCTTCGGATAAACGTCTCGCCTTTTGCCATGGCAATCTCCATTTGGATGTCCTCTGCTTCATAATTGGCCACGGCTTCGGCATACTCTTCCCTGGCGATGCGTAGGGCTAGGCGCATCAGATCCATGCACGCTATGTGATTAGGAAGGTCTCGCATTACTGCCAATATGTGTCTGAGACTGTATAGCGAGTAAAGATCATTGTCAGTGCGTTCATCAGAGAGCATCTCCAGTGCTTCCGTTACACGCGGCCGCAGTATCTGCTTTGCCTTGTCGGTGTCACCATGGTATCTAAAGTATTACACAAAGGCAACCGTACGGTTCGATATCATGCCACTCAAGAGCTTCGAACTCAAGATAAGCTGTTTCAGTCTTGTCAAAGAAGCCTTGAGCCCTTACTGGGTCGACATCCTTGGCAGTTGCAAGCTCTAGCCACGCAGGCACCATATAGGTGTCGATAAGGTTAACAGCCCGCTCGTGAAGTTCAGTCGTAGCCTCGTTTTTGTAGAGCTCCCATACCGCAATCCCAGCTTCTTCGTGGCCCTTAATACTAAAGACAGTTTTGCCGTAGTAGTATCGGATGATGAAGAGATCATCTTGGTCACCATTCGAAGTGGCCTTTACAATAGCTCGGACAAATAGTGTTTCCAGAAGATCGTATCTCGCCGATGTTTCAAATAGCTTTACGAGTAGCGAAAGGAATTCCTCCCCTGGTTCCAGAAGTCTCTCCATTAGGAACTTGGGTCTGTCCTGAGGCTCGTCGAGCAGTCGTTCAAAGAATTTGATCATGGGCTCCCAGCAGCCAGCCATCGAGTACTTTTGGAGAACATCAGAGAAGCCACTGAAAAGATGGATGGACCTACCAAGATCAAAGACTTTGGAATATGTCGCGATAGCTTCCTCATGTCGTTCCCCATCTTCCCAGTACTTGTCTCTAAGACTGTAGATGACTCGTGCTAGGATCCCTTTGTGACTTCGCTTGTTCTGCCATTCTGCATCTTCCACGAGCCTATTGAGCACCTTCTCAAGGTGACTGAGAGACTCATCCTTCGATTCGACGACTCGGGACAATGAGTAGGAGGCGACCCAGCTTTCAGGATTCAAGTCCAACACCTTTCGTGCTCTCTCTTCTGCAAATAATTTGGGAATCTTCTCACCTACCAAACACGAGAGAAGTACTGATGCTTGAGCCTCCCATATTAAGTCTTTCTGCTGGACTTTTAGCGTCTCCTGTGCCCAATCTTCTAACCATTGGATATCTGCTAAAGTAGGGCTATAAGCCGAATCGACGTCTTCACCATCTTCGGTCTTTTTCTCCTTGTCATCACTAGAGACTGCCTCTATTGACTGAGCGCCGTCATCTACTTCTTTACCTTTCTCAGTAGGAGGATTGTCCTAGAAAATTGTTATTCCCTGTAATACCAATTAATGACCAGAAAGATCGCATACCTTGTTGAGAATTGTATCAAGGAGTATATAGGCCCGAACAGTTTCCCTCTGAGTGGTGTCCTTTGTGAACAGATCTTCAGCCGCCACCTTTGCAGAGTCGCCAAAAAGAGCCAAGTGGCGATTGCCATCAGGAGCGTTAAACGAAGCTACCAATGGCGTGCTCTTGATATTCTCGATTACAACAGAGTCTTTGAGCCATTTAGTAAGTGAGTTGACTCCTTGATCCGACAAAATCCATGTTTTCCAACTGGCAGGAAGGTCATCCTTGGAAAATCGCACTTCATCGGCATCCTCTTGAAGCAAAACAAGGAGTCGAGAGCATACGGCTCGGTGAAGAGTCTAAGAAAGGCATCGCCAACTTGAGCCTTGAGAGTGCGGTCTGTCAGAGATAGGTCGGTCTTCTTGAAATGAACGTGGAGGTTGTCACAGGCGTAGTCCAAAAGACGCTCTGCGCTGATTGGTGAGGCAATTTATACAGCGCAGCACCATGAAGACCTGGGAGTTATCTGGATCTCGATAGATATAGTTACCCTTGCGCACCATCTTCAATTCAAAGAAGTTATTGGATCCAAACTTCTGGTATAGGTCGCTTGGACAGATAGTAGAGAGGTGGTGCTCGATGATGGAAGCCTCAGCTGGCTAGATTCAAGCAGAGCATCAATTTCAGCAACATCATCTGTCCCGGCGATACTGTCGAGCACTCTCTCAACCATGTAGTAGTCTCCTCTCGTAGAAGACTGTAGAAATCAGAGAATCTTTGATCTCAGATCAGAGATACCAGTTTATTCGGCTCAATAGCTGCATATCCCTGATTAATACAAAGAGCAGATATTGCGCAATATGGCCAAAGCCAGAATATATAAGAAAGCAATACCAACACAGGAATGATTTTTCGTCAGCATTTAATACATATATAAATTGGACAGCATCTAATATACATTATAATACAAGTCTCCTCTGTAACTAAATATCAAGAAATGAATATCCTTTCATCCAAAGAAATACAATAAGTAAATACCTCTTCTAGCAGCTACTCCTGAATGCTCCTTCAAATACCCTATTCTGACAGGTTCGCAACTGAAATATTCTCGTTAGCCACTATGCTAGAGGTCTCTGATTCCCCAGATGAAGATTCTGGTAGAAGTTCAGTCTCAATTGGCGGCGCGAGATATTTACTCTGGCTTTGCCGTCTCTTGGGTACCCCGGCCGCCATAGTGACTCTGAGATATGAAGAAGCTGTCTCTACTCTGGCGCTGACTTCATGACACGGCTGGAGTTTGTTTCGTGGTTCCAACCGTGGGCTTCGTCGCGGAACGCTTAACGGAGTTATAACTTCAGACTCAGGAGTAGCTTCCCGAGTTGGTTCGCTAGGTGTCCGTGCCCTTCTGCGTGTAGTACTGCTGGACGGCGCTCTTTGCTTGCCTCCTCTAGAGCCCTTGAGTTCCTCCTCGATCAATCGGTCCACATCTTGGACGAATCGATCACAGAGGTCGATAAGGCTGTTTGTGATAGAAAGATATGAATCTTCACGAGACTTGAGATCTGGCTGAGCTTGTAGGGAAGCTTGAGTAAGTCGGAGCGCACACCTCGAGAGCTCCAGTCTCTCTTGCCGGCGATTCATTACAGTGATATCTTTCGCGCAAGCAAACTTCCACTGATCAATATATGTGGCTATCAGTGGCTTGAAAACTCGCTTTGCCCAGGTATATGTATTTTCAAGTATAAGCCGGAATTTGATAATGTCTTGAGGTTCTGTCATGTTGCCGGTCCAGACACATTGCATCATCTAGTTTGCGTGGTTAGTGCCGCTCAGGTGCTCAACCTTAATTTGTACCTACATAGCCTTCTTTCTGGTAGTGGAACTTTTGATTTTCGTTAACGTCATAACGATATGCCATGAAGTCTCTGGCAAAGAAAGTTATCCAGACCTTGACTTCAGGTCCAACTGTGGTGACTGTTGCAACAGGAGGGATCTCTCCGTCCTTCGCTAACCTAACAGCATATGCTGCAGCATTCTGGTTCAGCTTCACAGCGCATCCACTTGCATTGGCCGCTTGGCAATAAACAACTTCTTTTAGTCGGCTGAGCTCACCAGGGGCGGTTTTCACTTTCTTGTACTCGACGACGAGCCATGGGAAACAACTCAAGTCTTGCTCACAAGGTTCCTTCTTATCCCAAACATTAAAGGGAGTGGCTAGTAAACCATGTCCATGTAATCCCTTCAAATTTGACCATGAGAACGATTTGACAAGAGATGGTGTTGATGTTTTGTGCCATTGTTGTGCTTCAGGATCAGTTATTGTAGGGATCCAAGTGTCCAGATGATACATCGGAAGGTAAAAGGCGAGATCGGGCTTGGGAGCCTTGAAGACTTTATTAATTTCATCGTTCTTGTCGAATATTCCCCATAGAGCGTTAGTGTCTCTGTCGTCGTTGTAAGTCTCTACTCCCAGTGCCTTCTGTTGGAGTTACTTACAACACCATAGAATCATAATAATACCGGCATCTTGAGGACCTGATAGGGAGATTATCAGTGGCGACTTTCAACATAGGACTTTACTGACATTCTTGATTTACCCCCGGACATTGAAGCTTGTTGAAGAAGTGGGTTGAAGAAGAACTTTTGAAAGAAACGAACCCAATGATCTTCTGAGAAGCCCCCATTGGCAAGCTTTTTGGCTTCACATTTGATGTTAAGATCCTTGTTAGTAAGTAGGTCTAGCTCTTGGCACGTAAAGTCAAGCATCGCCTGCTCAAGGCTTTTAGCATGTGGCGGGAGCTGGTCTTTGTCTGCATCTTGGACGTCTTCATCGTAGAAGAAGCCGATATTAGCCAACGAGGAGCGTTTCCAAGACATATTCGATACAGCGATGGTTGCGTAGTTTGATCTGCGGAGAGAGAGTACTCCTAGATAAAGATAACGGTTGTTGGGTTCCTGTCACGAATATATACACCATAAGGTTACATCTGTTGGTTGACATGCATGTTTGCATCCTTGCTTAGTGGCGCTGCAGAATGCCGACCTACTTTTCAGCCTAGTGCTGTGCAGCACCCCTTTCGGCCATTCTTCTTGGTAGGTGTCTGCTTTAGGTCCGTGGCTTATCGCTCCCCAGCAACATATGGACGTGGGTTACAGAGCAAAGGACAATCATGCTTGGACCACTTGCAGCAATCGAGGTTTCAGGTACTGTATACCTAATTTGAATTTATTTACTTTGTTCATAGTTATTGTGGTTTCCAAGAGCCATTCCAATTGTATCATCACCTCATTCTGCCTCCTTTACTGTGCTTCTGAGTCTCCATACAACCTGCCTAGATAGGGTAGCTAAGGCATGTAAGAAATGAGCTGAAACAAGGATTAGCCACCAGGCAAATCAAACGTCATGGCTAATACGCACTAAGAGTAGCGCCCGGACCAGCCGGTCACCCGCCCGCTCTCCCGAGTCTAGCGAAGGTTAGCCGACGTTTTTCAACCATGGAAGGGGACTCGGATAACGTTTTACGGGGAGAGCTATTGTTTCATGAAATCTGCAAGGGAAATTGCACTTGATTGATAGGAAGTGATGTGCTTGTAAATCATAGCCCAGGTGAGATAAGTGCCTTCTAAACTGCGGTGCCATGAGCCGGCTCTTCCGCAAAGGCAGAGCTCCCATTGGTGTAGGATGCGACGGCTGGCATTGGCCTTATCCTCAGGTCTAGCAGCCATACTGCAACTTGAAAATCAGGCTGATAAGAAGGAGAGTACATAACGCGCTTCTACTTTACTATTCATGTGCAACGTCTTGGTTCCCAAGATAAAGTGCGAAAATAAGGTCTTGACCATATTTAGGAGGCGAGAAGAAATCTGACAGAGAATCGGTCAGCACATGATCTCAATAATGACAGCGACATTGCCGAGGAAGCTTTAAACGGAGGAATATACCGCCATGCCACAACCGAGAAGCTGAGAGGAGTCTACTCTGTACGTAGCATCAATAGAAAAGTTATCTGACACAGAATGTACTGCGGAGTCAGGTAAGTCTAATCGAGATATAACGAGATTGGGGAAAATCAGAGAGAATGCAAAACAGCTTGTAGTACTGTTACTGCATCAGTCAAAGTATTACGCCAAGTAAATAAAACAATACTCTACAAACAACATTCTAGGGTAGCCTAGCTAGAAGCGCACCAATTGAATGTTGACGGGCTGGAAGATCGATCTACCGACCAGGCACCAGTAGTGTTATTTCCGGATCCCATCTTCATTTGCCAACTAGGCCTTGGTGCCTAAAAGTATCTTATTGATAAAGCTAAGCTTCGGATCTCTTCAGAATATCAATCAAATAAATCAAATAAATGTCTTTATTGACCTTTATCGATCAGGCTGACCCCGGCGAAGAGGGTTGGTTCATCCAGCACAAGATCTCTGATCTGATATCTTTGTTGCTTGAGTCGAAAGATGCCAGCGACAGTTTGCGCCGAGTCAAGCGCCTAATCGAGCTCCTTCTGCTCTCCCATCATATTGATAAAGCTTATAAACTCATCAGCGCCTTGTACGAATATCACAGTCTTATACTTGGCCCGTCTGCATCGAGCAACCAAGATGCCTTTCAACTGAGCAGTCGGCCTTTCGATAATTTTTGGGAGGCCCATCCTACATATAATAATCCTTTTCGTGGCCATAAAGAGAGCTCACGCACGGCGTTGGATCGGAAAGAAAGGCTTGAAAGGCAACAATGGCATGAGTATAGAGAATGCACCCGCACTGGCTGGATGCTTGAGCATTGCAGCCTACCAGAGCCCGAGGATGTACATATATGGCGCGAGACTGACGACGAACCGACTATCGCAATGTGTGCGCGACTATTGGCTAAGAGCAAGATTCCAGGCCAATACCCTACCCGAGAAAACATGAAGGAAGCTCTTGCTGCGGCAAAGAAGCTTTATGCGCAGCCTCAAGTTCCTATCACCGAGTGGGAACACAAATGGAACGGACATCAAACCGTAAGGAGACATTCTTACTTACTCTATCGACGACTCGTAGTGGAGCTGGCGATAAGACTAGGGAAATTCGATACTGCCGCCGAAATTCTGTCCTTAGGACTTCGACTCGATGGTTTCAACGACATCGACGGGGGTCAATTGGACCGGTATTTATTCCTGCCAGGAATTTTCAAAGTATTACCCCTTTTGGCTCAGAGTAAAAAGGAAGGGAATCCATTTTACATGGAGGCAGATGAAGCTGATGTCATGATTGAACAAGTCATAACGGCGTTGAAGATGCGTGCCCAAAACGGGCGGCAATGGTCACTTGCACCAGAAAGGGTTGGCTGGAAGGAGTTGCTTGATAGACTTGCCAGAGCTGCATGGATAGTGAACAGCAAAGAGTATCAAGAACTAGGTCTCACTTGTGCAGAAGATATCCTCTATTCGCCGGCCACAGAGGAGGATATATCAGAAGCTGAAGCTAAAGTTGGTGAGCTGCCATCTGACTTTAAGGACATGGTCCGTGTTGCAAACGGGTAAGTCAAGTGTTGCACTGCCATTCATCAACTAACTTCTGCTAGGTTTGAAGGAGGTTGGCATTTTCTCAACGGTGGTATTAACGGTCTCGATGACATTGACCTCGCCGATGATGACGTCGAAAACTATACGTGGTTTCTTGGTGACCTAGACCAAGATATTTATTCCAAAGTCATTGCCCTTTCACCAGCAACCGAGTGCGATGGATTCATGCATTTTATGATCTCACCAGCACATTGGCGAAATCCAGAGAATAGCAATAGCGAGACTTTCAGTGACGGAGAATATCCGTACTGGCAATGGGCTTCTTGGCAGGCTGGTGAAACTTCTTGGCATAGCTTCCGTGAATGGGTCGCTACTGAGGTTGAGCAACTTGAGAGGATGGTGAAAAAGGGAAAGACGCTTGATGATGATGATGATTGAGGCCTGAAGAGTAATAGTGAGCAGGAACGAAAATCTTTGAACTGCTCTTTCAGTCCAGGAGAGCAGTGTCTCGAAGGTTGGACGATCATCCAAATTCTACAGCACAATGCTTAAGTTAAGGACCAGATGTGTAGATTTAGCTATATTTTACTGAAGGCGACTGGTAAACAAAGGCAATGTGGACTTAACATCGTCTGATAAGAGGACGCTTTCGTTATGTCACATATAGAAACCCACGAACAGGAGAGATCTTGATCTTGATATTTCGCAGGTTGCTACAGCCTGTTGTGGTAGACAATAACTGATGGCCTGTATAATGATCCGGAAGCTCCCTATCGACGCCCATGGAGCCCAGGCGAAGTAGCAAAAATAGTACTACACAGCGATATCGCAGAGGTCTTCATGCAAGCATTGGATGTGAGGTCTCTTAGCTCAGAACAAGAGTCTCATAAACCATGTTCTAGATAGTTTTCAAAATATATACAAGTATAGAATGATAGCTGCAAGTATCCAAGATACTGATAATTACTCCTTTGTTGAGGAATACCTTAGTATCAATGAGGAGGAAAAACGACACTGTTGTAAGCAGCCCCGCCTTTAATGAGCTTTGTGTCCAAGCAGTTATCTCCGCCAGAAACATAAAAGAATTTACACCAATAGGTTTGAGGTATAGTAACTGAAGTGGGTGTTCTTAGGCACATATATCACATCTCCCCAAACGAGCGTGACCGGGAGATAACCTTTAACTTGAATAGTAAGGGTACCCTCTAGTACCATGAAGGCATTGCCATGAGGGAAGCATTGATAAGGAAGTGCCGATATATCAGATGGTGGCCCGTTGATTGTGATGGTCGACTTTGTAAAGCTGTAGTTCCCTGGGGACTGTGGAGTAATCAGCGGCTGTACGATCTGATAATAACCAGTCATGGCCTTGTTGAGGTACTTGGGTCCATATCCATTTGCGATCCAGTACGAAGTGTCGCTGTTATTTCCAAGGTAGTTGGGTCCGTCGTGCCAAGCTGCGTTGCCCGGTGTAGTACCGTTCAAAAGGTCTCGTCGTGGGACAAAGTCGGGCTGAGACCAAACATCCAAGTACGTGAGTTTCTCAACTTCAGCGACTGGTACAGGGCCAGTAGCATTTCCTGGGTTGTCAATATAGGCATTTGAATATGGTGTATGGGTAGTCGTAGTCCAGTTTCTGCCAATCACGTCTATCAACTTTTCAAATCCTCCAGGCGCAACAACAGCAAGCACTTCCGAGTCAGGGTCGATGAACTGAAAAGTGTGGTTCGTGTAGGTCGCTCACGACCCAAAGTCTCCTTGAGTAAGTACTCGTGCTTCTTGCATCTCATTGTCATGCTGAGCCCAAATTTGCACACGACCCTTGATGTTGAAAAAGCATTCATAGTGATATTTATGCAGGTTGGGGGAGACAGCGACTGTAGACCCGGTCCCAGAGCTATACAAGAAGAATGTAAACTCCCCACCGGTAGAATTTCCATTTATCGGCAGTCGGAAAGTATTATATCCTGCAAGGACGGTGTTGGAATGCGAGTATCGGCGAATAAGGTATACCTCAGCGGTCTGAGGCGGATCGAGCAATTCGGGAACTGCTTTAGAAAGTCCATGATGTGGAGTTAATGCATTAAGATGGATAGGCAGCGCCAACAAGAGCAGCAGCCGCAAGAACGTATAAATTCCAGTCATTTTCGTAATGTTATAGGCAATCGAGTTGTAGAGTTTAGTATAATTGAAAGTAGAGAGAGCAATGAACTGCATTCCAATGACTTTAAATAGGGCTTCAAATTATACGCGGATCTCTTCCCTCCGCTTCGAACAACTATTTATTGCCGCATGGCCGTTACGTACAATTGATAGAAGCTATGGTCATCAACCACAACAATCACTATCACTGATAGGTCAAAGCGGGTGAGTTCTTGCTTCTTCTCCGACAACTCCGTCTACTAGCCCGCTTCGCGTAGAGTATCCATCGTCCGTGTTGTCTTTTGGAAGACTCAAAGATCCCGTGATGGGTCAAAGGCTAGCATTATGGGTCCACGATGATCAATTCTGGAGTTCTTTCGCGACAATCTTAATCTATCTTGGAGGCTTAGACTGGGACTATGCTATTATACTTTACAGGGGAATTACGGCTTAGCTGGACAAGGGACCTCGCGTCTAAAATACTCCGTGGTGCGGCTTATGAATCAAGTAGGTAGCCGGAATCAAACTGATCCCGGCCACCTCCCCGCAAAGAATGAACCAATCAGACTGACACCAGCCACAGCGTAGTTAAGAGTCTATACGGGCAATAAATGAATCATCAGGTCGGTGGTCGGAGTCAATCGATCCCGGCCATAAAAAGTGAATCCAGTTACAGTCTGCAGCCGGGGTATTAAACAGATGATCAGGGCCGTAGTCGGAGTATCTTTCCCCGACACATGATCCTTTTTCGCCCTGTAAAGAGTCTCGGGGCCTAGTAACAACCTGGAGGTAGCAATTCAAGAACTTTTGTTTACTACTGTCTATTGTTTGTTTTGACCAAGTCCTATCATAATATTGATATCATCTAAGTATGCATAAATCTAAAATCCAGAGTTGATAGAGCCGGTACAAAGCATGTGTGAGAAGAACCCGAGCGAGTAGTTCACTCCAGTCTTGGTGCATCCTTCATCATCGTTCTTGGTACAGAAGCCCAAGATCTCGCTGTTCTGGGAGAACTCCCAACCTTCGCCGTTCCAGTTGAAGCCGTACTGATCCTCCGTCTTCTTGCCTTGAATCTCAAAGAAGCCTTCGATAAGGCACCGCTCGGAAACACAATAACATAGTATTAGCACCTGGAGAGTACACGTATCTTGTCACTTTAAAATACCTCAAATTGTTGGACATTGTCGAGGCAGCCACCTGGGTACGACACAGCAACGTCATCAGTGTTGTAGATGTCTCCTCCTGTATCAGGAACAATCTCTCCGATTCCCACTACTTGAAAATTAGAATTGACAATGGCAGGAGAGAAGGGACTGATACATACTTTGCGTTGCAGAAGTGCCGACTGCGAAATCTGCTTTAGCGTAGCCGATCAAGGCCATCAAGCTAGCAATGCGAAGGATAGAATACATTGCGACGGTGAAGTAGTTTGCAAGGGTTGTAAGTATATTGGTATTGGAAGTCAAGGCGTGTGAGCCGCTGATTCTGGTGTAAGTCGACCTGACATCACTCTTCTTATATAATTGCTGCAAGTTTGCCAAGACTTAGCCTGCCGACATATAAACCGAATATTCTGAACGTCTTTCTGTCTTCTAGCCGGGTTAAAATTTTTTGCCTGAAATGATCATCGTTATAGAGGCATAAAATGACGTATCGTGGCTCTTGGCTGGTGTTGTTGCATAGCCATGGTGGATCATCTAGCTGTGACTGAGTGAGGCTATGATCTTGCTTTGTCTTCCAACTCGGTCAATAGACGGGCCACTTAATCTGGAGAAGCTTACAACCTATAAGCTTATTCCCCATATTCTTGTAGATTATCTCCGATTTGAGTAATGATAGTTCGTTTTAGCCCTGGGTTAGCTTGTCGAAGGATTAGAAGGATTCACTACTACGTTATTGCGCCAACGTGGAGCAAAAGGATATGGACCCCTGCAAAAGGATTAAGAAACGACAGTTACGTACTCCGTACAACAGATGAGAGATCGGATTAATGATGATCCTGACTTTCAACTCTTTTATCCCTCCCCATCCTATAAATGCATTGATAACTTTTAGCTCTGATTCTATCTCGACAATAATTGGTCCTTGACCGCTTGAAATGGTAATAAATAGCGAAAGGCAAGCAAAACAAGAAATGATAGGCACGCCAAGCCAGAAAGTGGAAATTAGTAATGCACAAGCCAATCAAATACATTGATTTCGCGCTCCCCCTAGAACGGCTGAAGTGAAGTCGACAGGGGCATGGGTCAAGTGCCAGTACAAGATAACGAAGTTAAAAGCTAGGGGGCTGTTGTGAAATCGTGACCGTGAAGAGAGAAGTGGAAATCTCCTATTAATCGCCCGGTACCCTTCATTCTCAGATTCACTGTCATTCCCTATTTGTTCCCTTGCCAGATAACAACTCTAATCATGTCAACCGGACTCCCAATCAGGCTTCTTTGCCACGACAATGGCACCTTCTCCGTTGTTGACCCTGTCACTCACCATGTGACGAGCTTTGACATCCTCTCCTACACCTGGGGCAAAGAAGTGGCACCCTACAACTGCGGTCTTGGTGGTGTCACTTGGGACATCAAGATCAATCCTAAAAAATTGGAAGATATCAAGCGGCTAATGGTAGCAGCTAACATCAAGTACCTTTGGGCCGACTGCGTGTGCATAAACCAGACAGATGAGAATGAGAAGTCTGCTGAGATCCCCAAGATGTTCGAGTACTACAGAAACGCTGAGACATGTCACCTTCTGATGGATATGGAAGAAGCCTGGATCCCGCAGGAGATTATCGATGATCTCAAGTTCCTTGACCACGTCCTGTACCACATGCAGGGTACTGCTCTCGCCTCCGAAGCCGTCGGCCTGACTGAGAGGGTCATCAACCTTCTTACCCGTTGGGCCGACACGGACTGGAAGTTTGGCATAGTCCAATCGACCGTCAGGTCTGCAGCAATCGACATGGGCGTTATCAACTGCTACTCAACCTGCATCCAACGTGTCACATCACTCTTCGATAATGACTACTTCACTCGCGTCTGGACGTTCCAAGAGATGATCATTGGCAAGAACATCACTTTGTGGGGGGTAAACCCCGAGAGTATCTTCTATATCGGCCAACTCCATACCTGGATGGACTTGGCAATCGAGTGCGCTGACAAAGCGGCCAAACTGTACGATTGGATTGAGAAGGGCAGATTTTTCAACACAGCAGGAGTTAACGCCATACTGAGGGTCATTGCAGAGGATATCTTATCCCTCGTCAGCCTGCGGACTCAGGTGAAGGGGATCAACAGTGCAAGGACTGACATTATCAATGGTGGTTCTTACTGGTGGCGAGAGAACTACAAAGGGATAAGCAACATATTTTCTGCCATCTCCCTCAGGCCACGCAAATGCAGAGACGCGGCGGACATATTCAGAGGTCTCTTGGGCATCTTTAGCGGACTTTTCACAGATGACGAGGTGAAGGCGGAGCTTTCAGGAAAGGACATTACATCCATCTCATTCAATTTCTTCAAGAAATTGTCTGCTGAGACCGGATTGGCGTGGACCAAGCTTGGAGTAGCCAGCAAGGCGAGGGAAAGTGGATGGAACTGGATCCCGCTCGTAGAAAGCGATAATCAGGTCGTGTCTACTGATTGCTTCGCCGGAGTCCTCAATCTCGGGAGGCTGAAGAAGGAAGGCCGAGCGAAAACAACAGCCATGACAGGTCTCATTGGAACTCCACGCAAGTTCATGAAGATCCGACTAAGCCAAGAAAAAGGAGACTTCCAATTCATCTTCAAAGGCTGCAATTGTGGCAAGAAGATCAAGACTGGCCGCATCAGCAGGGAGCTTATACCAACGTATGACCAACCCAGAGACGTGGTCAAGGACGAGACGGGTAGGATCCTGGTACAATGTGCCACCATCCTGGGAGCCATCATGGACCCTGGATGTGATGACCTGGTTGAATATCGGAGGAAATTACTCGAGAAGCTGCAGCCGATGTGGGAGGTTACGGATCCTAGTGCAAAGCCCGTGGGTTGGGAAGACCGGTCGGTGAGCGGCACAGCCTGGGAACATCCCAACGCCATTGGCTTTCGGGTGCATAATTTCTCCATGAACTACAGGATGGTCTCAATGAAAAGGTGCGGTTCGCGCCTTGCAAACGGGAGCACAGCAAGCATCACCTGCCACGTCAGCGTCAACTGCGGATGTACTATCGTCGCCCCGTTTGCACTCATATTCGAGGCTATAACTGCGGTCCAGGGAAGCTCCCTCGGTGATACGGCTGCAGAGGCAGACCATGACGACAGGATAGTCCTGCAAGATGGGCTGGGATTAGTGCAGATTGGCGACGTCGGGAAGGCCTTCGACGTGGTAGCATTCTCGGGTGATATACAGGCCCACAAGTTATATGCTGCTAGTTGCAGGAAGAACAAGGAGAACAAGGCGATTGTTCATGAAGTGCCACCTCCTAGTGGTAGGGCGCTCGTGCGGGAGGACTTTACCCATGCGGCTATGGACGTAATGAAGGACTATGGCTATGTGCATACTGGGGGATCTGGAAATTTGCTCTTGTCCAGGAAACATCGATTGGACTCTTACAAAGTCGTTGGTGTCTGCATTGATGAGTATATTCCATATAAGAATGAGGAGCAGTCAGTCACTATTGGATAGAGTAGTACTAACACCCGTTCCCTATTAGCGGTATCTATTTTTGTCAATTGCAAACAGGAACAGTAATATTGTAAATTTGATTTTTGCTTTAATAACTCAATCTAAAGAAAATATCCTGAAGATTCAGTTAATCATTGAAGAGAATTATAGTAATGTACAGTAAAAGCTCAATATAGTGCTAAGAAAGGTACTCCGTAGGTGCGGACTATCTATAACCCGGCTTGCCTGCCGTTTAGCAAGGTTGACCCGGTTAGACCTCCCATGTAACAATCAGGCTATGAACTGATTGGGTCTCATTGTTTCACAATTTCAATCTGTCGCTTACACCAATCGTTGTGACTGAAAGTCATCATGCATCTTGCACAGCCTCCACAAAGAATTACTGGTATTCTTATATCAGGCTGCCTCACCGCCCTCAACGCGAACTGAATTTCTGTTTTCAATCTTCCTCTAACTCTTTTGTCCTAAGTCCATACGATCATGTCGCCTACGAAGCCCGAGGATGGCAGAGACCCGCAAGATGTCTCAGGGTCAGAGGCTGAGGTCCTGGCAGAGTTCAAACAGTTCGCCATGCAACAGCGAGTAAATGCAGAGAAAGCAAGATTGATAAAGAAAAAACAAGACAAAGAAGTGCGATTGACAGAGTTGAAGAAATTTGCCCGAAGTTTCAAGCTGCACACTCCAGTGCCATCCGATCTGGTTGATATTCTTTCTAATGACCCTTCCAAGCAGAAGGAGATAATTGAAAAGGCTAGGCGTGATGCAGAACCTTTCCCGAATGAGAAAGCAGAATTAGCCAAGACTAAAGAGGTCACCGAGGCCGTGAAGCAGAGCCCGCAGCCTCAGAGGGACCACGAGACAGTACACCAGCTCCCACAACCCTTTTCATGGGCCGATGTGGTGCGTGGCGCGTCTTTGAAAGTCGATGAGCCAATTGCACCCATTTCTAGTCCTAGGGGCAATGAACCGGCAACAAGCGTCTATTCTTCATCCATTAGTGGCTTCACGAGGACTACCGAGGCAACGCAAACGACAACGTTGACTTCGGTGTCTGGTCGGTCTAAGGCTGTGCGTCACAACCAAGTTCAAAACCCAAATCCTTCTTTAGGAATCCTCGGGGACATTCAAGAAGTTGAAGAAAATCCACCATCCGTACTGGGCCAGAATAAGTCGCGACTATTACCACAGGATGAGCCCTATGATAAGGACGACGAATCGCTCATCTCGCAAACATCAACGACCTACACCCCGGAGCAGAGAGATGATGTCATTGTGAGATTTTCGCAAGCCATGCTCAAAGGCCTCCACTCTCATGTCAGCTATGGTGCGGCAAATAAGTCGTCAAGGCAACATATCCTTACTCATCTCCGCTCGGCTTTGAGGACATTTGCTGAAGCCGTTGAGGCGGACACGTCAGAAAAAACACAAGCAAAGGCGAGGAAAATGGTGCGAAGGTTGAGGTCTGAAATTGCTCGAAATCTTCAGGATCAAGTCCTGAGGAATGACCAAGTTCCTGAAGGAAATCGCACGCCGATCGATTTAACAGATCGAGAAGAAATGGGCGCTACTGAGAAGATAAACCGCTGGGGTATACCAACGCCTGATCTGGATTTCCATGCCGGGTGGCAGGCTGAACCAGGTATGCAGGCCAAGTACCAGTACCATTCTGACCCATCTCTGAGCCTCCCTACAAGATCAGAGAGCTCCGTGGAGCAGAGCGACGTAGAAGTGTCACAACGTGATACCGCGCAGATATATGGAACATCTATCGATCCAGTTGAAGTCATGAAGCACTTTTCAACGCATTCAGCGTTTGACAGGCTCCTTCAAACAACGCAGAAGCTCTTCGAACGATTCCACAGTCCAAAGATGGATTTGGTACGTCAACGAACATCCCTCTCCCTTCGTCGCCACTTAGGAAGACAGGGAAGCAACAACAGTGTCGCGACTTTTAACCTCGACTGGGACCTACATGGTTTCTTAATCGCAAATTATGATGATGGTGTCCATCAAAATATTGACAAGATACTTGCCGTCACCGGTACAATGGGAAATGCGCAGCTATGCTCAGTTGGTCAATACTTTGCATGGGCCTGGCCAGGTTACAAATTCCAGCTGTTGGAGGGACTACAGTCAGCACTGCGTGGTTCTACAAGCAAAAGTAAGTGACGCGTGTTTAGGAGTAACCACTACTCTGGCTAATATGTTACAGATCGACGACACAAGAGGCTTCCAGCGGGACGCGTGACTGTGGACTCGACACTTCGCATGCTAACAGTTCATGGAGCCGAAGATTTCATCATTGCTATTGCGCAGCAGCTCTCTTGGTTGATAGCAGTTTGCCAAGAAAAGCAGGATCAGCTTTCTCATGCCTACGTGGGCTTCTTTGAGGCGGATAGTCCTGAAATAACTGGCATCGCCACATTCGACATCGATGTTAAACTCGAAGTTCCACCGATTGAGCCTACTGGCAGTTGCTGGAACACGATAGTCGGTCCTGCGGTTATCGTTACTGGATTTCCCCTCCCTGACCGCCATCACAACGAACAGGGGCTTGAGATATCGATACCTGTCATGGCGGCTCTCTCGGACACTCCCCAGGCCGTCAGCTACAGAGGTGGTTTTGTTTTCAAGGCCAGACACCATGCTCTCATACCCATCAAGGACTTTGGATCGTCCATACAATGGCATTTGATAGACACCTATCCTGAGAGACTTGAGTGGACTCATATCGACAGAGCATGCCCTACGAGACTTGGAGGCGCAATTAAGAAAGATTTCTGGAATCGCCGCTCATTTCTCGGGTGGTGCCCGCAAGTCCTTGAGCTTCTGGCAACGTCAAGCTTTGATCATGCGTCTGTACAGTACTCCAAGGCTGTGAAACCCCCGAGATGGACCCAGATTGATAAGTTCACCATCGGATTTAGCCAGTGGGGAACAGCTACTGCTCAAATAACCTTTGGCAAGAAAGATGGTTTTCGAAGCTTGCGACCAGATGATTACGAAACGCTACTTGATGATGCGAAGCATACTCATGTCATTTTGCATGACACGACTCACAAACGCGCGTTTCAAACTAATGCAGAGGATCTGATTCTTAACATTCTTCTCCATCGACAGAGTTTACATCTATCAGGACAATCACAAAACCCGACAGAGAAGAAGTTAGTGGATATTATCCACGGTGCAGATATAAGTAGAGAAAGAATCTCAACTCGTGCTGCTATGCTTAACAACGCTGAGAAGGTCTTTTCTATCCGAACATCGATGTCCAACGCTAAAAAGGAAGAAACCCGGTTTAAATACGAAGCGAAACTGCTTTACTCGACGATCGATGGGCTCTGGGCTCAGTCATATGCAAGTGGTGACACGGCCGTAAAACTCGGCGTCGAGTTCGGACAGAATGTCACTGGATGGGAGTATATGGATGTGGTCAACAACGTCAAAGTGATATTGCCCAAGTCAGTCGACTTGGAAAAATCATGCGGGCGCTGGAACGACTACGCAAAAGACATCGAAGCCATTGTCCTGTTCGGAGCCAACTTTGGGGATATTCTCAAACCGGGATCATCAGAACTGTGCTCCAATTACAAATTTCTGCCAAGAGATGAGTGTTACTTGGGCGTTCGAGTAAATGCACTCCAGTGGCTTTTTGATCGGCAGGGGTCTTCACAAGACCAAAAGAAACTGTCACCGTCTGGCCTTACGCTTCAGGGATCGCAAGATCTGTTCAAGCCATGTGTGGGCACATGCTCTGATCATGTGGTTCGAATCGTGAAGCAGTCAAAAGGCCATTGCCTACTCCATCTTGAAGAGAACGGTGCGGTCATTATCGGCGACGCTCGAGGGGCTTTGCTCCCCAAGATGTTTGGCAAGAATCGGCAACCGCAACAGAAACCGTCTCGAGCTCAGCGCCAAGAACGACAGGCTTTGTACCGTACAGAAAGGGAGACGACCCCGATGACGGGTTTACAGTCCCGAAAGCCTAATGTACCTCCGAAACAGATCGCTTCTTACAACAGAACATCAGAGAATACAACAGCGAGAAGACCCAGATATGAGATGTCTTCATCATCAACTGTTAGCAGTGGACCCTGGAGCGGATCTTCAGTCACAGATGGGATCGCCAGTTCGTCGTCCATTTCTTCAAGTCCATCGATGAGAACTTGGAGTAGTATAGTCGCTTCTAAAACTAAGAAAGTTGAGTTTGAGGTCAGAGTGGATAACAAGGCTGAACAAAGACCAGCGGCGTAAGATTTAAATTATCTCAGATCAAAGGGAAGTCTTGCTAGAAATCTTAGGTATATGTTCATAACAAAGGAAAATATAGCTGTATATATATTCACCATTTTCTCGTTGCCACAAATTCAACAACTATGATAAGTAAGCATCCTCGTCACCTTCCAATTACGGGTTGAGGTGGGATGGTATGATCACCTAGCGACCTGCCTAGAAGGGTATGTTCCTGTAATGCCGAGACCAATTACCCCTCTCCAAGAACTTTTGAACCACGGGCTAAGAAGATGCGGAGCGGTGAATCTGGAGGGAGACATGGTTTGAATTAAGCTTAAATTTTACCCTTCAAGCTAGCAATAAGCTATGATGTATTCTAATCTTTGGGCAATTGCTCCGTAGAATGAGTCTCGACTGTCGAGACCTTTCATTGAACCATAACATCCAGCATCGACATGCGGGGAAACGCCAAGTGCCCAGCGTTCCTTGCATACTACCCAGGAACAAATGCTGACCCGCGCCATGTTTATCTCTGACCTTGTTCCTATTTTCCACTAATTAACCAATGCCCTTCAATCCGACTTCTTGGCTCTTTCGCAATTCCCCTCATGAGCTTCCCAACGTGGAGTAGGCAATGTCACCCAATGACTTGGCAACCGAAGATGCAGACGAATCGTTTATCAAAACGTCGCATTGACCGTTCAATGCCAATTGCTTCTTGCAGGGGATGGATATATCACGAGGCTTGGTGGTATTGAGATCCGGGGCGACCGGAGTTGGCATGGGATCTGCAGGTATATAAAGATGATGGCTTGTCCACATTGACCGTGTTTCGTCCACTTGCACGACTTCTTTTCTCGATAACCACCCGTCGCTGTTGGGCTCACTTCTTGACTTGACCCTATTCTCATCAACTCGGCGTCATGCGTTACACAGTCCCTCTCATGGCGGCGCTAGCTGCCTCGGCTACAGCTACGGCACCAATTGGAGCTGGAAAGCGCGCGCAGAAGCTTTACACTTTAGAGACCGCGCCTGGTGAGACTGTCGAGGTTACCGAGGACGAGAAATTTCAGATGATCGACGTAGGTTCCCTTGTAACAAAGTCACAGGCTGATCGCTGACTGATGATAGGATCACATTCACTTCTTCGACATCACAGAGTGGAAAGACCACAGCGCCGCTCCCTCAGGTGCCCGTCTCGCCAGCACAACAAGCAAATTTCCCGAAGCCCTTGCTCACCAAACCAACGTCAAGAACATCGTCAAGAAGGTCAACGTCAAGAACATTGAGAAGCAGCTCAAGAAGTTCTCCTCATTCCACAACCGCTACTTCAACTCTGCCTTTGGCGTTGAAGCCGCTGAGTGGCTACACAAGGAGATCCAGAAGGCTATCAAGAAGAGCAAGCACCCTTATGCTTCAGTGCGACTAATCCAGCACCAGGCTTGGTCGCAGCCCTCGATCATCGTCTCGATTCCAGGACAGGTTCGTCTCAAGACTGTTGTTACGGGTTCTCATCTTGACTCGGTGATTTCCAACGATCGTGGAGCTGGTCGTGCTCCTGGTGCCGATGACAATGGCTCTGCATCTATCATGCTCTTGAACCTCCTCTCTGCCTTCCTGGAGGATCCCCGTATTGCGAAGGGAGATCATCTCAACACTGTGGAGTTCCACTGGTACTCTGCTGAAGAGACTGGACTTCTTGGATCTCAAGACATTTTCAACAACTACGCCCGACTCGGTATTCAAGTCGAGGCTATGCTTAACCAGGATATGGTTGGCTACAAGGGCCGTGACGGAGTTGAGCGTTTCGGTCTCATCACCGACAATACCAGCCCTACCCAAAATGACTTTCTGAAGCTCCTCATTGAGGAATATGCGGATATTCCTTATGAGGAGTCTACTTGCGGCTATGCTTGCTCTGACCATGCTTCGGCTAACCGCAACGGCTTCCCCTCGTCATTCCTATTCGAAACGCCTTTCGGAAACCACAATCCTTACATTCACACTCCTAACGATACTATTGCTCATATTGACTTTGGTCACGTCATTGAGCATGCTAAGGTTACTGCTGGCTTTGTTTATGAGCTTGCCCACCGCAACTTCACTGCCTAAGCAGATCCCACGGGGAAATAGGTCATGATTAGGTAATCTATAGTGAAACTTCAGAGAATAAATATTCTGGCAACGTTGATGTTTATAAAATTGCTTCAGTGTGATATATTCTCATATGGTGAATGGACTCAATGGAGCGACTATGTCCTGCTCAATTGAAGAGCAAAAATGTCGCGTGGGTCTAGGCTCACCTTCCGTTTTCATACGGAAGTGCATCGTTATGTGGCCAATAGGAGAAGGGGCTAGTCTATGTGATAAGATGGGCTCTAGATCCTAACCAGTAAGAAGCTCTGGAGTTGATGTGGGCTTGTACCACTCTGCTTACTGAATTATCATGCGGCTGAAATCCCCCGCACAAGCTTCAACATAATCATTCTTTCTTTCTGTCGCAGCGCAACCATGGATCCGCTGTCGCTCGCTGCCAGTATCGCTGGCCTCGTGAGCCTCGCGGGCGCTGTTATATCAGCGGGCTACAAATTAAACTCCAAGTTGAACGAGGATACGAGCGACACCAAGACGCTGGTGAACGAGACAGCTAACTTCTCGGGCATCTTGCTGGGTGTTAAGGCACACCTAGAGTCCTTTCAATCTCTCGATGTCGATCTGAAGGCTGTTCATAACACTATAGAAGACAGCAAGCTTACGATAAAGCTTATCAATGAGTTATTGGCCAAGCTCTCAAAGTCTAATCGCATTGAGACGTTGATCAAGGCTGGAGGACGGGAGGAGCAGGCCGTCAAGTTACTTCGCCGTATTGAGCAGTATAAGATGTTCTTTGTTCTGTGCTTCCAGCTTGGGCAGAAGTGAGTTGCTCTATGGTCCGTCGAGCAGAGGAATATTACTGATATGACGCAAGCTCTCAATCCGAAACCCTGCAAATCCAGATGCAGGATATTGTGACTCAGCTTAACTCTTTCAACGAAACCCAGAAAGGCGTTGAAAAAGCAGTTGGCAAGTTGGTGGATGCTGGTCAAAGTAAGCTCTTGTCTTCTCCTTGTGAAGCTGGCGCCTAAATGATACCCTGCAGTTCAGCAACAAGAAAAGATCATCAAGTGGCTGGGAACACCAACGGAGGATGAACATGATGATCTATGCAAGCAACGCGATGCATCCTCAGCTGAGTGGATATTGCAGAGACAAGAATTCAACAGCTGGCTCTCTTGTCCCGGTCTAGCACTATTATGCCTCAACGGAACACGTAAGTGCCTTGAATTTACTGCTACAAATGCTAAAGTTTCGTCTAGAGGGTTCGGGAAAGTCGGTTATCGTGTGAGCTTCTACAAACGTTACCTCTAGGAGGTATGTCTGCTAATATGTCTATAGATCGAAGGTCATCGAATCGCTCCAAGAGTCTACTGAGCCTGGAAGTAATGCTATAGTTTATCACTACTGTCGCTTCACCAACCCAGCCAGTCTTTCACCGACGAACTTAGTCGGGTCGCTCATAGGCCAGCTCCTCAAACAATCTTCCAACCCAAGCGTCCTCTTAGAAGTTGTGAATAACGTCTACGAAAAGAATCGCAAACGATCTGCTCACCCAAGCCTCCAAGATCTACAGACTCTGTTCACCGATATCTCTAACTACTTCGAGAGGGTTCTAGTCGTCATCGATGGTTTGGATGAAATGAATGGCTACTGGGAGATCCTGGACTTTCTGGAGACTCTACTTGAGATAGGTACCGAATTCAAGATTATGATAGCGAGCAGAGCTGGAATGGGCCTCGATGATGCTTTCCCATCTTGCTTTAGGATCACAATTACGTCGACAGATGTTGCATCCGATATTGAGAGCTTGGTCCGCAAGAAACTCAATAAGCGTCGGTTCCGCGGGTCCGAAGTTGAAGCTGTCATCAGAGAACTGATTGTTCGTGCTGACGGAATGTAAGTTGTAATTAAATCCCAATACCAAAAGCTGATGGTTTGTCTTTACAGGTTTATCTGGGTCATATGTCAAATTGACCATCTCTCCCGCGTCCGAACAGCTCTCAGTCCAAAGCTTGTGCAGGCCCTACCTCGCAACCTCGAGAAGACTTTTGAACAGGCCTTTCAGACGCTCGAAGATGAAGAGGAGAAGAAGCTTGCGAAGCGTATCTTGTTGTTTGTCATGTTTGCCAATAAACCACTCGATTTGTCAGAATTGGTTGAAGGGATCGCTATTAAGTCAGATACAAAGACACTCGACGATGTGCAAGCCAACTCGTTGCGTGAGAAAAGTTACGTATTTGAGCTCTGTGGAAGTCTGGTTCGAGAATCTCAGGCAACATCCAAGATTGATCTGGCGCACTACTCTGTGTATCAGTTTCTCCAATCTCCCAAGATCGAGGGGAGCAGGGAAAATGAGCTCTACCTTGACAAGTCTCTTGGTAATATCGAGCTTCTCACGGCTTGTATTCGATATCTGACAATCGAGAATGTTTCATCCGGTGGAATCGCCGAGGAGGTAGAGGCTGCATTGGAAGACGACGATCTGTACATCAGTCCCGAAGTATTTACAAATACGCCATTCCTCCAACATGCAGTAAGTAGCTGGCCAGCCTATACCTCGAAGATCTCAGAAGCCGAGCTTAAAGACATCTGGACCTCTGTTCTACTTCCGTTCTTCGAGCCTAGTTCGAAGTACTTCAAGTTCTGGGTACGCAAAGCACGCTATCTTCACGGATATTACAGGTATCCTCCGGGAATCACACCACTACACGTCGCTGCTACCCATGGTTTGCCAAATCTAGCCAGAATCCTTTTGGAAGATAACCATCTCAGCAAAGCCACCTGGCAGGTATCGAAAGCCAAAGTGGGGAGCAGGACGCCGCTACATATGGCTATCGAGAATGGCCAGAACTCGGTGATCGAGCTGCTTTTAGAACTTGATCTTATCGACTCAACAGATGAGAGAGGCAGAACCCCTCTGCATCTTGCTATTGAGTGTGCAAACGAAGAAGCCGTGACCAAACTCATCTCAGCTGGTGCAAATGTGAACCACTGCGAAGCTGATGGACGAACGCCGCTTTTCATCGCCATTGAGAACAACTGGGATGGTCTCGCAGCACAACTCGCAGAGATGGCGAGCCAGTACACGACTATGCCAGATGGGCGCGGGCCACTTCACCTTGCAGCACAAACTGGAAGCACAACGTGGATGAAATGTCTGATGCTCAGATTTCCTCCAAGAGCCATAAACAAACCTGATGATGGCGGTTGGAGCCCTCTACTATACGCTGTTGATAGGGGCCATTTGGATGTCGTGAAGCTTTTATTATCAAATACCAACTGTATCGAGGTCGGTGACAAGAACGGATGGACACCTCTGCATGCTGCTATCAAGCAACAGAATGTGGACTCCGCTACCGAGTTACTAATCTCCAATGTTCCGAAACTGCCTTTCTCAGAATATAGACCAGAAGAGCCAACAAGAGGACTGGGAGAACCTGACCCTGGGATGACAGGGAAATATGGTGGCGGATACAGGCCCAGACCGTCCGCTGCAACAACTAGAGAAGGCCCAAGTCGACGCTGGGAAGAGTTGGAATCATCATCTCAACCCCAGCCTCAGACAACGGTTTTGTCGCCATTACTTCTGGCAGTCTCGAGCAACTACAAGGTTGGGGTTGAACTACTGCTGCGTTATGCCAACACCTACGGCCGACAGGAGATAGGCTTATTAGAGGAAGATGGCGAGTGTCTAAAAGCATCGATGATGTTGACTGAAACAACCATCTTCAAGAAACTCATTCCGGTCTCAACAGCAAAGAGCATACTGGCTGTTCTACCCGATTGTCTTGAGAAAGGCGGTGTATTCATGGAGATCTTGAAGCAAAGACTGGACAGTGACTTTGCACATAAGCAACTTCTACCAGAGGCGTTGTCGGACGAGAGACTGACACTTGAGATTCCCCATATTATACTGGATACCTGGCCAATCCAGCCCATTTCACTTCCGGACAATATACTTCACTTTGCCGTACAGGTTGGAAATGATGACGATTTACGCTTCATGAAGCGTCTGATTGATGGAGGGGCCAATACCTCTTATGTTGACAAGGGCGGAGAGACACTTTTGCATACGGCAATCGATCATCTCAACTGGCCCGCTACTACCTTCATGATTGAAAATGTGCCATTTACCGAGGAAATACTGTCTAGTGCTCTCCACAGTCTCATCGATGTTGCTCCAATACAAGGAAAAGAAATCAGCCCTGAGATTCTTGCAATCCTGAATCTACTTCTCGAAAAGGGCACTGATGTCAATGGCCTGGATGCATCTGACAGCAGTGTTTGCCACGCAGCGGCTGCTAGAGACGACACTGTGTTCTTGAAATGGGCGTTAAAGAACAACGCTGTATTGGCTGCTCCAACCTCGAGAGATGATACGCCAATCACCGTGGCTGTGAGATATCGTAAATATGAGAATTTGCAGTGTCTTCTCGACAACATCCTCCAGACTGCCCCAGAGACTCTGGTTGAGTTTCTAGCCACGCCAAGTACAAGCTCTGGGACACCTCTCATACAGGCCATTGAGCTCTCTGACATCCAAATTTTGACCAAGCTTGTGGAAGCTGACAAGGCTGCCGAGTTGCTGGTAAAGAGGGATATCGATGAATATCAGAGTAGGCGGTTGACAGCCTTTACTGATGCACTGTGTACTGCTATTCGGAAGCAATCGGACGAGGCTGCCATGCTATTGATCAGATCGATGAGTGGCATCTCATCAACAGGGTCAGCAGGGGAGACACCACTGCATACGGCAGTGAAAGCGGAAGACGAGAAGATGGTCAAAGTGTTGCTTGAACAAGGGGCACATCTGAATGTGCCGCACCGCGATACTGGTGAAACACCATTCGCAGCTGCAACAGTCGCCAATCTGACAAACATAAAGGCTATTCTAAGCGAGCAGCAAGTGGACTATCAACCCCAAGATATCATTGCAGCAGCCAAAGCTGGAGATGAAGCCTTAGTCACAAAGGTCCTGGCCGCATACCCTGATGATTTATACAATCAGAGAAAGGCACTATTCACAGCTCGAAAACTACGGCAGAAGAAGATTGAGAAGGCCCTCTGCGAACTTTTGCCAGCAGAGGCTGCATCTTCTCTGGTAGACGATATAACCAGGAATGCATACGGCGATACGGTTCTGCACCAAGCGGTTCGTGCGATGAACCCCGAGAAACTTAGGTCTTTGTGCAGTGGGGGTGATAAAGAGCTGTTGGATGCTTATGATCTTGGTGGTGACTCTGCTTTGATGCTTGCTATTCGGATGTGTCACTGGAGCGGCGCTGAGGTCTTGGCTAAAGCAGGGGCGGATATAGGTGAAGCTCTTGAGAAGGCACATGCCGAGAAGTGTGAGCTTTGGATCGAGAAGCTTGACGAACTCCAGAATCGCTATGGAAGGGTGAGGCAGCGTGTGTTTCCCTCCGAGAGTAGTAGATTTTAGGATTAGCGTTTAGTAGACTGTCTTTAACATGGAAAGGTTTTGAGCAATAGCACCACCGTTATCTGCAGTTCTCCAGAAAGCTTGATGGAATGGGTGGACATGGCCCATTGAACAAGAAACCACGTTGGGAGATTACCCTGTAGTTCTCTCCGCAACCAATGGTGGAGAAGACTAATAGGCAGGCGGTCAGAAGACAATGGCTTGTCTAGTCCAGAACTTACCATCGCAAACTACGGATGTTGCCGCGGACGCCACAAAACCCGAGAACGTCAAGTGTGCCACGTAATGTTTGAGCTCAGTCACCGCAATAGAATATCTCTAGTTATATGAGACATGATGATAAAGGCAGGAATGTGACTGGGTAATAAGTCGCATGTTTTGATACTAGTAGCGAGAGACGAAGGCTAAAATGGCGGGACTAAATACCTTAGGTGAGCTGAGTCACTACGATTCCGCACATCTAGAGCACACTTTCTCGAATCCTCCCTCAGTCCAGGCTTTGGGGGTTATCAGCTGTCTAAGTTTTCAGCTTCTTTCGGAGCCAGGTTGTAAGCAAACTTTTTTTTTGAGTTTCAGAAAACGTACCAGCTAGTTGAGGTGTATCACAGTGCCTGAGTGGCTTGGGCAGGCATGCGAATCCGGGAGGGGTAGCTCGTATCGTGGTCCGGAATCGACTGGCTGCCCGAACACAGTCTCTGGTTGCTCTATCATATATTTTCACCTTTCTAGCGCCTTCTCACTTGTGTCTTGAGCGCTCCGCATCTCCTATGATTACCAAGCTACATTGATCCTGCTCAAGTTCTCTCCTTTATTCTCGACATATTTGACCATGGAGGCTTTCAAGAACGCAGAAGCGCTGTCAATCTTTCCCTCTTCACCTGCTGATGCCCTGGATGGTACATATGGCATCCGGTCAGCCGAGAGCGGATATGTCGAGTCACATGGTTCCAACATCGAAAGTAACACCTGGTTCAAAACTCCGGTAGGCAATATCTATCTCACCGGCCTTGGAGATTCAGTCACTGATATGCTTTTCTATTTAAATATAGCCTCTTGATGTAAAGACTATCCAGCGACTACGCAGCATTCAGCTTATTACAGAGTCTCACGACCAAGGCTGGTGTTCCAATAGGGCAAATGGTAACTGGACTTGGTTCGAGATATCCATTTTGGAAAACGCAAATGCGACTGAGCCGAGGGTGAAGGATGACGTGCAGCTAACGTGGGAGAGTCACAAAAATCAGCTGAAGTCTAAGCACTTTGTCCCGGTATGTCGCCTTTGCTTTCATTGGCCCCATCACGGAAATTCAGGTGAAGCATTCTGAGTTAGTACTAACTTCGGAACAGCTTGAAGGAAGTCTGTTTCCCGAGGACCATGATATTTTCCGACTCCTTGAAGTAAGAAGTAACGTCTTTGATCACCACTATCAAACTAAAAATTCACCAGGAACAAAATGTCATTGCTGTCAGGATTTGCTGTCGCTTCTCAGGCTGGAAGTTGGTCGCTAAGCAGGGATATCTCGTCGTGGAATTTGGCGCCCCAGGTAAAATCACATATTGTAACAAGACGATCGCTAATGGACTCTGCCTCAGTGGAAAGAGAACCCCTCAGTTTCGGAACTATCGCAGCCAAAGTTCTCAATACCCTGGAGGCTTTCAACGATGTCAATGAACTGTCGTTTCCAGATTTGGAGGAATTTCCATCTGTGCCTGCCACTGTATTCAGGGCTGATAGGATGGGAACTGAGGCTGCCAACGAACGGCCGCTACGGGTTCTGTCCCTAGGTATGCCAATCCCGGCAAGAACTGACACGATGCGCTTCTAATTATTGCTAGATGGTGGCGGTGTACGCGGTCTGGCGTCCCTAAAGGTATTGGAAGCAATTATGGACCGTGCATGCCCAGGAAAGAAGCCTTGCGAGGTATTTGATATGATTGGCGGCACTAGTACTGGAGGGTAAGCAACCTCAACATCTTGGGGGCATTAATTCGCGATTTTCGTACTAATGGATTGTGGTCGCTTACAGACTGATTGCTATTATGCTTGGTCGGCTAGAGATGTCAGTGGAAGACTGCATCAAGGAATATGAGAATCTTATGGGAAAAGTATTTCCGCCAGCGCAGTTTTGGTCTTCAATTTGGTCTTTGGATCTCAACGGCTGGTGGGCGAGTGCCTTGTTCAACAGCGAGAAATGGAAGTCTCAAGACCTTGAAGAAGTCATCAAGGATCTTGTTAGGAGGGTGCTCGACAAGGAGGACCCTGAAACAGTACTTTTACAGGATCCGAAGGACCCCAATCCCTCGTGCAAGGTGTAAGTTTTATCTCGATACTACCAAGAGTCACTAATTACTCACTCTTGTTAGCTTTGTCACGGCGTCCAGAGAAATGGGGTCTAATAACTTGGGGCCTGTCCTGCTTCGATCCTATTCGAACCCCGATCACATGCCTGAATTTCCAGGAGTAAAGCTCTGGCAGGCAGCACGTGCCACGTCGGCAGCTCCAGCGTACTTCAAGCCTATTGAAATCAACGGCGAGTCTCTTATCGATGGTGGAGTGCAAGCCAACAATCCTCTTGGATGGTATGTACTCTCTATCTATCATCTTATAGCACAATGAATTGACTCGACCTAGGCTATGGACCGAAGTCATCCAAGTATTCACTCCAGTGCGTACAACAGACTGTTTCCTGAGTATTGGCACGGGGGTTGCACTCAGCCAGCACGCGCTTTCTGTCTTTGGTCTTACAGGTCTTCTTACCAACTCAAACATCGTTAACATTTTGTTCCGCGAACTGATCAATGCATTTGCTCCACGCGGTCTAACAAAGAAATACTGGCGCTTCGATTTCGGTGATGGCCTCCCTGATTGGGTTGAAGAGGATGGGGTTATGAAATGGATCTACCTAGCTAAAGTTGACAAGACTGGTGGAGAGATGGATGATGTCACGATCAAAGAGCTCTTGGAAAAGAAGGCGGCTGACTACATTAATGAGCCGGGCTTTCAGAAGCAGCTCGATGACTGCGCCGCTGCCTTGAGAGGTAAGTAGACTCTTATCTGTTCTGCGCGCTATTAAAGGCTGGGGTTCGAGAGGTACTACGCAGAGTATAGCAAAGTTATGTGGCGTTTCCAAATATGGCTTAGGTGTCGTAAGGTGTTTCTCAAAAATGAAGACCTCCGCTGTCAAGATATCAGAGCACAGGGTTTATTTGTTGCGCCGCATTCATGCACAGTATGATAGTACACATGCTTGTCCCATGCGTCGCATACATGATACATCTAAACGGGACAGAGTTTGATCATTGGACGTGAACGGCTGAAGGGTAAGTCTAGACTTTAGCGGCATTTCCAAGCTGAACCAAATTGGGCTAGAAGTCAATGCCTTATCCAACCGTTAACCAACACCACCGGCACTAGGCGGATCTGACGGTTAAGGCCGAACTCAACGTGGAATGCCGAGAGACATGACCCAGTTGTCCATGTGACTACATTCGTAGTCTCAGGATCAAAGTCCAACTAGAGACATTTGACAGGGTTTACAAAGTCTGGACTACAGTCTAGGATCTGTTCTGCCAAATAAGAGTCCACATCCACAACCAATCCTTGAATGTGGCTGCTGACGGATGCCTGACAAAGGTATGTCCAAACCTACAATCGGCACTGGTATGTGACAACGGTTTGTTCGGCAAGACATGCCTTTTACTTTGTACTTTGGTATCCGTAGAGCTATGCAACATGCTCAGGCTAGCTTCTCAGCGATAGCTAAACGCGATTCTTGTCATAGTCACGAAGTGAACATTTCCTGACGAACTTGGTCTTTACCATCCTACTCAATTACAGTTTCTTTTTTTTATTACAATTTGATTGAAATATTACATCACATTTGCGAGTCTTAACATGAACGATTACAGCCCTCGCCTTCACGTCGTCTATGCGGGTCGCGGTGATGCCATGTACATCGAATGGTCTGACAAGACGAAAAAAAAGCATCTTGTTCTGCTTGATTGAGGGCCTTTGAAGTATCAGGCTATCCCAAAAACAGATCCAGAAACCAAAAAAGCAAGACCTGGTGGAAATGCCGCGCCCTATAGCAAGTATCTTTTCGCAGCTGGGCAACGTATCTGGAAAACTCGCATCTCCGACAAGGACGAACACAAATTTAAACCGAGCGCAATTATCAACTCACACCCACACGATGACCATCTTGATGGACTCTTGGCATTCCTCCGGTTTGCTGTTAACAAACGGGATGAGGACTTTGACTTCAAGGGATGTTTCTACCAGCCAGACTGTGGCCGCTCAACTGCCCTGAGAGAAACTCATGCTCAGTTGAGGGACACTTTCAATTGGAAACAGGGTACAGGCTTTAAGTACGACGGTATTCAGGTTGATTATCCTAAAGCAAAAAGGATTCTGAGCTGGAATGCCAATCCCGATCCTCTCGCTGGCCCATCTTACGATCCAGATCATTCCTCGGTGAACTTGAAAAGCATTTTGATGAGAACCGTTCCCGGTGAGATGCATATAAAGGGAAAAATGTACTTCACTGGCGACAGTGTCGGATGGAGGATCTCAGAGATGCTCCAGGAGACCCCACCAGGAATACTTTCCATTTACAAGATTCAACATCACGGCAGTTTGAGAAATACGCAGATCCAGGATCAAGTCGTCAAGATGGAGCGCACTGTCAGCAAGGAGGCTGTGTTACGAACCTGGGTAAATCGCCTTACGAATACAGACGGGCCCTCGTGGAAACTTGAAGAACCGGGAGCCAGCGCGCTAGAAGCAGTCTTCGACCTCAAGTTCAAGGAGCTATACAAGGGCATGGCTTTGTCGAACTATCAAGAAACACTAAATGAACGTCACAAGAAATACACCCAGCTCTTCATAAAGATGAAACCAGAGGAAAGGTTAGTAGGAGAGCTTGACGGTCTTAACCCAGCGCCATCAGAATTCTACACGGCCGTGGTGGACCACATCCAGGAACTCAGAGGTAAGGAAGCGACGCCTTTCTATACCAGCGTTAAACCCCGAAAGTTGAAGAAGTGGTGGATGGAGGCTACAGACCCTATTTCTGCGGGGAGAGAGTATTTGGACTACATGGTTGTAGGCCACATCAAGCACTTCTTCTTAAGCTTCGTTGCCGATGCCTATGTCATCAGTGCGAACCATGCTGCCCACGACCATCCATCTCCGCCTACCATTCTGGGTCTGGCCCTGGCAGTTGAACAGCAGCTCAAGACTGGCGCCAGGAAACGCAATGGTTTACTCTATGTGACTGACGGATCAGCCATAGACTTGAAAGAATTGGAGAAATGTGCTAAGAACTGGGGTGTCACCTGGCCTGGTGTCATCAGTGAATCGCTGACCATCAGAGCTCTGAAGAACCGGTGCTTCATGAGCTTGGATGCCAGCGACGACTTCAAAGATCCAGATCGAGATAAGGATGGCGCCACTGAGGAAATATCTTTTGACCCTGCGAACATAGCCGAGAGTAAAAGCTTCACTGCGGATGTTGAGGCAGACAAATCACAGCTGGGTCATAGAGACCTCGGGCCTATCTTCTGTGAAATCTTGACTCCCAATATCACTACCACCACCACGGACTTGTGTTTGAGCATCGAAACGGGTGCTCCAAAGCTGATCCCATCGGTTTCTACCGTAGACCCACCAAGGCTTCTCTTGGAATACTGCTGGATCACCCAAGGCACTACGAGCATGAAAGATGAAAGCGAGGTCAATCATTTGGTCGTTCAACAATGGGTGACCGACAAGTGGGAAAAGGTGGATATTTGGATGGACAATATCACCGCAGAGTTTGGCAAAGACACCAAGACCTTGCTGTACTGGAAGGTTGCGGATAAGAAAAAGGCATTTTACATCAACACAGCAACATCAACGATCGAAATCGATGATCTCAAAAGTCCACCGCTATCAGGTTACCAGGATGTCTTTTTCACCATCCAGCTGGAGATAGACAAACAGCCTGTCATGTCTCCCATACCCGAATTACCCCAAGGACCTCAGAGCTTCAGTTCGTTTTGCATCTCATCGGTGCTCGACCCTACTACTATCTCAAGTGCATGGAAGGCCATTGAGGCGCTGACGAGCAGCGAAATCGTCATGGCCCTGGACCTGCACAATAGCTTCGAGACTACAGTGCTCAACTATCAAATCGACCTTGACAAGTCAGTTATTGAGTACGAGTATGATGAAGTCAGTGTTGAAGTCCAATCAGCAAACCTGATCTTCAAAATCCCAGACAATGCTACCATCATGATTGGATCCGAGGCCTTTCTCGTAAAGGAGGTTACATTTGACCTATCCTGGGACAAACAAGACTTGATCAAAGCAAAACTCGACATTAAAACCACGACAAAAGGAATCGAAGTTGTGGTCCCGAGAGAAGTGTCAGGAGCAAAGCATGCTTCGAGTCTCAGAAAGTCCCTGATTGGTATGGGTGTCAAACCCGAAGAGCTTACAAAGGTTCGACTTGCGAAACTGCTCGGATACCTGATCAATTCTGACTCCAAAATGTATTCCCTTCTCTATCAAGAGACTCCCGCGTCACTGCTGCTATCTGGAGTTCTACGCCTAGTCCCCGATCTCGACAGGTCACGCGCCCGGGTGACCATGCTTCCAGGTAACATGCCATTGATCCATGAAGCGGATATCAAATGCAGTCTCGACACGGCTGTTGGCGTACTTGAAGGTGACACTAAGCCAAAGCCTTTCAACCCTAACATCACGTTCGCCGGGGTCAGTCTCGTGATACAAACCTTGGGTCTTTTACTATACAATGCAACAAGCCCCGATGAAAGCATCGTATTAACAGGCACGGCCAAATTCGCAGCCGCCAAGAAACAAGGCCTCACAGTAAACCTAAGATGTGTGATAGAAGGACAAGACAGTGAGCATCCTGAGGTCGAGTTCACCATTAACGGCACTCAATCGCTACACGACCTGGTTACCGAGCTTTCAGGAACCATAAGTTTTACAGAAGCCGTCCCGCTGAATGATAAGGGCTTTACCCTGCAGTCCCTAGGCACATCTCAGGTTGGCTTTGCCGTAACCCAGCCTGTTACTGCTCATTCCCATTGTGTCTTGTCGCGTGTATGGGCCGTCACAGACTTTAGCGAATGGCAAGACTTTCTTCCTTCCTCCTTTCCCAAAGTCCGAGGAGACGTCAAGGTTCAGGTGTACAACCCCCTCGATGCGAACCATATATCGGTGGGAGTTGTGGTTAACTACAAGACACGTATCGATACCACACCGCCCTGTGATATAGATGTAACCTTCTTCGCCAACCCGTTGCCCAAATCTGACTCGTATGAATTCCGGCTTTGGCTCTTACCCTCCAATCGAACCCTCACCGTATACGGCGTTCTAGAAGCTGTGGGTATAACTGATACAGCAACATTCGGAAGTGCCATTAAGGCATTTCCCATGATTGAAAAAAGCCACAGCGTTCTTATTCACCGAATCTCATTTGGCGTGGAGAAGAGCACCCTCTCGGGCTGGAAGTTTGGAGACTGGTCTCTGTGTCTCGGTGTTAGCAACGTCACGGTACTGCCGGACGTGCTAACCGTGAAGACTGGCACCCTAGATATGGAATTTTTGGATGATTCCTATCACTGTTCTATTCAGGCTGACTTTCTTATCGAGAAGATAGAGACTATTGCCAGTGCCTCTTTCAAGTTGCCTCAGAAAGATACAGTTGGTACGTTCTCTCACTGCTCTTGACACCCACTACAGTTATCCACTAACCAGTAATGAAAACTTATAGGGAATCTCAACATTGACATCCCCGATGGACTTTCTGTATCAGACATTATCGATGCGCTTGAACTTCCCAACAACCTACATCAGCTGCCACTTCTCGTCAAATCTATTTTGGAGGTCCAGTTACTTTATGCCCACTTCACGATTGGCTATCCCGTCACTACTAGCAACCGTGCCGAGATCTTGGGTTGTGAACTTGGCTTTAACTGGGATGATGGAATGGACATTGGTGTTATTGGCCTCAACTCAGTCAAGATCGACATTCTCTACACCAGCAGCAAGAGCCCTCTCGGCACTGGTAAGACTGATTATGGGTTCACCATTGCTGCTATGTTCAACAAGAACGCTGTCATGGCTCAACTTTCATATAGCTCTGTCGCCAACGAACTCGATTTTAGCCTACACGCTCTCCAGACCGTTCTTGTCACGGACATACTCAACACGTTACTTGGAGACACAATCACCAACGCTCTTGCACCAGCCATTGGAACACTAGGCTTTCGACAAGGTCGACTAACCATGGACACTGGTCCGCTCAACGCTGTGAAGTATTTCAAGCTGGAATTGGGGGAGACGGAGACGGTCAAGGTTGACAGTTTGACCATGACTGGCCTACTCATCGAGTACAAGGCCGCTGTAATGAGGTTGCCAGAGCGTCAACCAGCTTCACTCCTCTTGGTGGGACAAATACGTAATGAGAAAGCCGCAGCCAAGATCACCATCAGTTGCATTGCCAAGCCTGGTGAGCCAGCGATGGTCAAGACATCACTCGAACCTGTCTCCAAGGAGGAACCCTTGACGCTGAATGGCCTCCTGGGGCTGTTTAGCTTCTCCAGGCCAAAATGGATCGAACCTGAAGGGTGTCCTGAAAAGTGTCCTGATTTCTTCAGCCTCAACGTGGTAGAAATCTCGGCAACTATGGAGGTTCGCGAAGCCACAAAGACAGATCGGGGCACTCTTGTTATTAGAGCACTGGACGCCGTGGCGGTATCTACCGGGATACTGACAGTCTTTGATACAGTGAAACTACAAAACATTGGTCTTGGAGTACACTATGCAAAGAAAAAGGACGACGAAAAGTCATCTATCACGGCCGAAGTCGTCGGCGACCTGATCTTCCAAAGTCTCCAGGGTCACATACGCGTCGGTTACTTCCAAACGACCGAGGGAAAGGAATTTCATGGCTTTTACGTCAAGCAAAAGGCTGCTCCCCCTATGTCATTTGAAAAGATGGCAGGCCAGTTCCCCTCGCCTGACAAGTACGCGATCCCTGAACATCTTGGACTGTCACAGATAGGTCTCCAGAAGATTGAAGTTCACTTGGGGATCAACAAGTCATTGAAAATCTCGGGAGTCGGGGCCATGCACTGGGACTATGAGTCCAACGGTGTTCCCATGTATCTTGCGGAAATAGGTGGGGAGATCACTGTCAAGAAGACGAACCAGGGCTCCCTCCTCTTACCTGAAGGCACAGAGTATGACGCCTTTATTACGGGAAAGCTGACCATTACCGACTTTGTCAGCCAGACAGATATTAGAGCCAGACTTCGAATTGGATCTTCACATGCCCCAGTGTTAACAGCTAAGCTGGAGAAGACGGCAAAGGACAACAAGGAACTCGTGCGACTTTCTCAAAACATGAGTTCCAGTAAAGAACTGGCCTGGGACCGTGTTGAGCCACCTGGAACTGCTGCTATCAGTTTCCCGTCCACCAATGTCTACCTGTATGCCGATCTCTCTAAGAGCAAGGGCAAACTGTTCCTATGTGCGCACATCGATGACCTGGGAGATGCAACTATATTCGCCCGCCCTGACACCAATGACGCCACCAAGCACAGCTACTTCTTCTCCGTATCGTGCACCAACCTAGCCAGGATATGGGAGAAAACACAGGAGCCGGTCATGTCCACGTTCAGGCTGAGTCAGATCGGAGCTCAGATTATAGGTTACCACGGAACTGTCGGCGGGCTGATGGACGAGCTTGTCTTAATCAAGACGGCAGCGAGTGCTGAAGACATCGAAATAGAGGATTCCTCTTCCATTCTTACTACTTTGGATAAGGAAAAGACTCTGGACCCTGGAGGTTGGTTCTTCGCCACTGTTCAACTCCAGCAGCCCAGGCCCTCACCTTTGGTCAAGGCTCTGGAGGACAGCATGAGCCCGAATCGAGGAGAGGTTATCACGCTGTTTGCAAAGATTGACAAGTACGAACAGTCTCGCACCCAATACGGCGTTAGTGTGAACAACTTGTATCTTCTAGGAAGTTTCATGGTGGTTTCAGGCCAAGGCATCTATGCTCCGGTCCGGGTTGATAGAAAGCCATATCTCCTTGTTTCGGGTGAAATGAAGGTGCTCGAATTATCCACAGAGCCTTTTACGATAGATGTGGACTTTGGTGTGTCTCTCGAGACAACCAACTTTTCGCTGAGAGGTACAGTACCTCCCGGCCCTCTACGGAAGCCATTTGGGGCCATGTTCAATGTGGAGATCAAATTCGCCAGTATCTATGGAGTCATTAAGCATACAGAACCAAAGAAGGCCACATATGTGCTCCATGGCAGCGGGAGTATCGGGTCCTCTTCTTTGAAGTTCTCTTCGCTCGTCATATTTGATCAAGACATGAAGCCTACTGTTGTGGCATTGGTTCTAGTCACAGAGCTACCTGATCCTAAGCTACCCGCTCTTAAACAACGGGATCTGACAACTGATGATGTCTTCACACACATCATCCAGCCGAATAGCCAGACTTCTCCCTCGTGGCCTACAGGATACAGCGGGCTCGTCTTCAAAGCTGCAACCGTATACTACGCCCGCAAAAGCTTTCTTGGCAGTCAAAATCATCTTTACGAGCAGGGTTACCATGTGAAAGCACTTGTCAGCTTTTTTGGTTATGATTTTACAGTATCGGCGACCATACCCCTCGATCAATCGGGCCTCACAGTCGCCGCGACTTACGAAGGGACTGTCAACCTGTCGTTTGCCAAGTTCGATAAAACAACGGTGTCGATTACTACTTCCAAAGATGAAGATATTGTGAGTTTCATCCCGACAAGACCGTTGTGGGAATATGACTAACTTGGAGGCATCGCAGACTGTATACGGAGCGAAAGCTGATCTCACGCTGTTCAAGAAGAGCGGATTTCATATAGACCTCAAGTACGAGCGGGGGAAAAGCCGATACTCCGCCACAGGCAGTTACATGGGCACAGACAAGATCTTGGGGTTGTCAAATCCCATGGTGACGCTGACATACGACAACAAGACGGGGTTGATGAGCATTAATAACTGGCCTACCTACCAGGACCTGAAGGACAGTCTTTCGACCGTGGAGTTTGCAGAAGGTCTGAAGAGAGCGTCAGCCCAAGATATGACGTGCGAGAAGATCGTGGAACTTATTTTCAAGGAGACTATCACCACCCAGTACAACATGGAGTTCAAGGGCGCGTCAGTCAACGACACGCATCTTATGCTGAACTTTTCAGGGACCTGGGATGTAAGATCGTCCTCGACCCTCCTGTTACAGTTGCAGCAATACCTTTACCAGACATTTCTGTAAAGGTCTCCAAGGAGCTATCCTTGGATCAGCTTGGGGCCACGGTGGTGAAAATGCTGGTGGATAATATCTCATCCATAGCCTTGCAGCTCTTGAAGCAGCCCGATAAACTGGCTACCTTTTTTGGGGCTCTGGTTGTCAAGGAATTCGTGCAGCAGACGATCACGGCACTCATTTGCCGAAAGGTAGACAAGCCAAATATCAGAGAGCGAGCCGACGACCTGGTCGAAGAGAACGAGAGAAATGTCAGAAGCAACAGACAAAGCATCGATGAAGAGGTCGTCCGAGGCAGCGCCAGCAGCAGCCTCGAAGTCGTGGGAGGCGCATTCGCTACGGCTGAGGGACTCTTCGACGGCTTACTAACAGTCTTTGGCTTGATGGGCTCACTGGTTGCGGTCTATAGTGTCATGGATTCAGGCAAAGCGGATGAGTTGAAGAAGAAGGCTGCTGAAGCTAAGCAACACAGAGAAGAAGCCGAGGCCAAGGTCACTGAGTTGAAGAAGCATCTTGTCGAGGGACTCACCCTTGATCCTCGATTTGCAATCTTGGCCAGTTTCAAAGACGACGAGACAATTATGTTGGACTGGTCCAAGGTGCCTCTCAAGTTCCAAGCCGATAAGACTCCTCTCTCTTGGGACATCGTCTTTAGTCCAAGAGATGACATAAATAATCCTGACGCGATCAAGATGTCGACCGAGAGTGCTTCACGAACCTTCACGACACCACCAACTAGGGAATTTCTTACTGCCCCTTCGGTATGGACGTGGGTTTGTGCCAAGGCGACTTTTGGTAAGACTGAGGTGCAAGGATTATGGCACCCAGCCCAGACGCTTACTCATGTGCCATCTATGGTCCCTCCCAAGGAAGTGACATTGAACGGCCCGCTTGTCTTGAACGGATCCTATCTCACGGTCAGTATGCCACGGGTAGTGCCAGGAGACTATCGGTTCTGCATCGTCACTCAGGATGACCTCACCGCATCTCGACCGCTCTATTGGTCCACCGCGCACATTCCTACAACTATAGATTTTACGAAGCAAGTACGAGTAGTAGAGCTTGAAGCATGCCCCCCTACCACTACTGGAATACGCGCTGTCGCAAAGACCTTGAGTTCTGATACAGCTAAGATCCATGACTCGCCGTACACTTCCTCTCAGTCACTAGAAACATTGGCACGGCCACTCAATCTGACTGCAAGCATGGCTGGTCTCACTGTCATGGCCACCTGGGAACTTCCTGGGCAGTCAAAAGACGATTGCGAACTGGTTGTTCTGAATGCAGTGACTGTTGAGCCCGAAACCACGGCCACAATCCAATTCCAGCCAACAAAGGAGGGACACCGTCTTGCTTCTGTGCAAGGACCAACATTTCAAGAAGGGTACCACATATTTCTTGCAGCTCGTCAAAAGTCTACCAAGGTTTCAGCTATCGGGCTCTACACTACCCTATCTTTCGTTGTGTCTAACATCCCACTGTGGACTATTGATGCCCTTGAGTCCTACTATAGTATTCCCTTGCAAACATTAGTTCTCAACATCAACAGCGCCTCGCGAGCAGCTGGGCCCTTGACATTTGAAATTTTGCTATCGGGAGTTATTACCGTAACCCCTTCAACCACTCAGCTCTTGGACCAGTCGACGGTTTTGCATATTCCAAACATAAAAACCCCTTACCCAAGCACGGTGCAGGTTCGCGCAATAAACGCTAGGCATGTCCGAGGTATCTTCGGTACCGCATGGAAGTTTCCGTCTGTGCCGTCGGATCTCCCTGCTCCCCAGCCCAGGATTTCGTACAACGCAGGGATTCTTACCGTGGCTTGGCCGGCTATACCTGTTGCAAACGTCCGGGTGCTAGTGTTGGTGCAAGACTCAAAGACCGCAAAAGTCTTATCCACCAAGAGTACATCGGCCTCTGCAACATCCTTGACATTCTCCAATCAAGACTTTTCGATCGTCCCTGGGATGAACCTCATCTTCACCTGCTCTTCCAGATTAGATAATATTCATGGCCACTCGACCAGGGTGTCGTACGAGATTGCTGACATGAACAAGGGCTGGGGCACTCCTCATGAGCTGATCATCCCTGCACCAGAGACTAAGGTCACGTACTCAGCTGTGACGACATATTCTATTGCACAACCTATGGATTCAACACTTTTCTGGGCCAGTAGCTCGGCCAAGAAAATAACTAAGCTGGACTGGAACACTGGCAATTGGTTGGCAAGCACCATTCCGGCACAAAGAATGGACCTACAGGGATTTTGTAGCATTACCAATACGTCGCGCCACTCGGGGCATAAAGAATTCTTCTACATCAGACCAGACGGAACAATCGGGGGTTTTCTCTATTTTGGTACCGGGGGTGGCTGGAGCCCACAGCCTTATGCCTTTGCGTCTGAGACAGCAAATCTCAACAGTGGAGGGGTTATCGACGCTGTATCTCCCAACTCTACCACTTCTCTTCTCTGCTGGGTCGCTCGAGATGGAGCTCTAAGATATTCCGTATGGGGCAACACCACAAAGGCTTGGTCAGTTGCAAACTATGCCGCCGGGCCTCAGGCGGCTACCATCACTGAAGCAGGGTTCATCAGGGCGACCAGCCAAGACGGAAAAGGTGTGCACATTTTCTATCGTGGGAAAGGTGGTGATCTCCGCGGTGTGTTCTGTAACCTCGTTTCTGACACTGGTTCTATGACGTGGAAAGGGTTTATAATCCATACTGAACCTGACGCAAGACCTAGTGGAAGTTCATTCTGTGTTTCTGGAGTCGGGAAACCAATAAGGATTTTCTGGTCTAGTTCAACGGGAAGAGTGGTTGAGGCGCATCGCGATGGGGAAGATCTTGACAGTTGGAAGGTCCAATACGTTAGCAGCCCTGGCAGTGTTGGCACTAGTAATATGACCGTTGTTTATAGAGACAGCGCGACTGTATGTCTCTGGTGGATTACCCCGACGGGTGCTATCTACCGAGGTGATGGGAATATATCAACGGACGGCAAGATCTCGGACTGGACTATCACAAAACAACTTCCTGATGGCACAGCGCTGTCAACTACAGCCAGTCCGTGGCCTCCTGGGGTTGTTTCCAACTTCTACACAACGTCCCATTCCAGTATTATGAGTATATTCTGGGTTTCGCCAGATCAATTACTGATGGGACAAACTTGGAGTCGGGAGCGCTAAGCCACGTACAACCAGGGTGTCGAGCTGTGAAACTTTCCTGTGCGTTCTTTGGCGTGCTATAGTCACTATAACTTAGTCAACCTTTACAGCTATAACAGCACTCCTCACTCCCATTCTCATCTCTTGAGACATAAGTTCATAGTAAATATACTGTTTCATGTTACGGCAAAGTGGCACGCCTAGGCTGTAGTATGTTTGGCTCCGATGAATGATCCTGACGTTAGGCAGTCCACTCACACAATCGATTTTGTTGATCATTCTGGTGCAACAATACTTGAGCACGACGCCACTTCGTGTCATCAACATCTTTTCGCTGTTCTGCCAAGTTTGGGAGCTAAGGCAACTGGCCGGAGCTTCCTGTGCTGTCGTTATGAATCCATAAAAAAAATTAAAGTGGCGGCGTAACTCTTTGATCCACGAGGAGACGAGATTCTCATTAATGAGGAGGTGGGTAAGGCCGGAGCAGGGAATATCAATGGGGGACGGAGGTGATGATTTTGCTTCTTGATTGGCAATAGAATACCATCTCAACCAATAGCTCTACAACGATTGAGTCAAGAATCAGTAAATTCACTGCTGTTGACAGGCTAAGGCCAAAGCCAAGCCACATCCTAAGCTGCAGAAATACTCCAAAACCCCCCTAATTAAGACCAATCAGAGATGAACACATGACTCACGTCTACAGGTTGGGCCATTCAACAGGCTCAGAACTTGATTTTCTTGCCTTAGTTATGCAAAATGAGTTGTTCATTGGTTACAAAACAGCCCGTTTCTTTGCTGATTTGCACATTTCTTAAGGTTCTATGTTTCTAAGTTCTATTTTCTGTCTGCTGGTTTAAGCTCTTAGCCACAAGCCTTAACTATAAATAATACATCTAGCTAATAACTTAGATATTATACTATAATAACTAACTAATTACTACAATTAAAGGCTAATAAAAGGAAAACCTAGATTATAACTCTTTAGCTAGCCTTAAAGATATATAAGATACTTTAATTTATTAGCTAAGAAAGGTTAGCTTAATGTTATAAATACTTTAGATCTTTAATATAATAGCTTTTATATTAATAAGAATAGTCTTTTATTAATATTATCCTAACTAACTAGCTATTTAAAACTATATTAATAAATTTATTATAATACCTTAAGTAGTAATAGCTTATAATATAATCCCCCCTAAAGACCTTAATTAGTATTTTAATAATATTTATAACTTAATTTTTATATAGAACTTCTATAAGCTTAGCAGTAAATTCCTCCTTAAGCTTAC